TGATTCAATTGTGACACATTCATTTTTGTCATGAAAATGTAGTTTTAAATGAAATTAGCTCCTAGATGGGTGCCCCTATATGTCTGATTTTCACACATGTTGTTCCTTGACCAGTTATCTTAAAAAGGGTGTCTCAGATTTCCAAAAACATCAATAGAACACATTTTATACCCAATTTAATTTAGTGATCTCTTATGAATTGAGGTTGCAAACTTCATTGAAGGTTTATGAGAGAATGAAATACAATAGGAAAAATCTGAGACACCCTTTTGGAGTCAAACTGTGTTGCACAAGAATCTATAAAATATATTTGGATGGTATGAATAACAAAGACGCTAATTTCATTCAAGTGTGGACATTACATTATAGCAACTAATTACATAATAATTAATTATGTAATAATCATGTCATAATGAAATGATCACCAGTTGAAAGATTAATCTTTCTTCTTTCTTTTGGTACCTCATTTATACAATTTAAAGCTGGATGAAAGAAATTACATCAATTTAAAGTTGTATGATTGGGGGTGAAAAAATCTTTGTATTGTGCTACCTTAATTTGTGTATCAGGCCGTTGGATTTCTCGTTCGAATTGAACTTTGTCATGTTTTATACCTTATTATCAGGTGTGAAATTCGCACATTTTGAAAGCTGTTCTGCTACCTACTGTTGATTCATCATTATTTCGTTGGATGTCAATTTTCGTGGAATTCGTGGGTACAGGTGAACCACGAAATTAAATGTTCAACGAATGACAAATTTTCTATAGGCTTGTATGAAGACTTCGGCAAAACCACAAAATTAAATATCCACAAACATGTAAGTTTTCCTTCATCCACGAAAATTGGTTCCCACGAAAAGAAATGAATCCACAGTATATACCTTACATTTACGTCATTTGATCTCTGGTGGATTGGTGTCTCATCGGTAATTTTACCACATTTCATTTATATCGATGACCTTAACCGTTTTTTTCGAATCTTTTGGGAAACTATGCTTGTCAATCCTCTTCAACTTGAACTAGATTTGACCTTCAAATTTGTTTTAATACTGCACGTGTGTATGGCTTACCAAATTATAAGCATAGTTCTTTTAAGCGTTTTATTCTTGTTTTGTTTACCCGAATCCTGAGCTATCCATTATCCCCATTTATACATGTGGTCCGTAAAGTCAATGAACATGTCTTTTTCTGATTTGTATGTATGCCTGATTAAATAAGCCATGATGGAATAATTTTAATGTTTATGTAAAACGTAACAATACAGTACACATTGTATTACGAATTATGCGTCTATATTAAAGTACTTCATATTTCACAACATAATTCTTTTTATACGTCATTATATAAGTTAGATAATTGATAAATATAAAAATAGGGAGATGAGGTAGGATTGTCAATGAGACAACTATCCACCAAAGTTCAGATGAAGTGGATGTAAGCAATTATAGGCAATGCTTCTGTAGCTTTAATCAAAATTCTCAGTTTAATCATTATATACTTTGTTTAAGATTCAGATAATATTTACTAATGAACAATGTTATTTCTTTATATTTTGTAATTATATTTAGTAGACTTGACCTGGTTTAAACAAAAACCCTTGTCCCACCAACATTCTTGTATTTGTCTTGTGTCATGTAAGTTTTTTTAAAAACAAAATAGCCAAATCCATCTATGGTCAACTTTGCCTGAGGGAGTTGAACCTTAGTTTTATTAATCATTTTCCAAACAAAAAGTCCATCATTGAAAACTATAATTTAAAAAAATATGTTTATATAGTTAAAAATAATACTTAAATTCAGTGAAAAACATATAAAGACTATGCATAGTCAAAATAATAAACATGAAATTATTTAGATAGGCATCTTAATTTCGTTATAAATTGAAATATTTTTTAAATGATATGCCGTTTTTACATTTTTGTTTTTATATTTGAATTAGAGTTTTTTTTTTCTTTAAGATACCAAGAAATCTTACATTCTTTGAATTACGTTCAAAAGTTTACTTACAATTTGAAGGATTTACTCGGGTTGCATAAGATTAAAAAAAAATCATACTGTGTAACAGTGACACCTAAAAATAAAACACTAATTTCTCTTATAATTTAATTTACTCAAAGTTTTCCCATTTTCGCATTTTTTTTAAATGTAATTCTTTATTAGAAAGTTAACTCAACCTATTATTTCACGTATGTTTAACACATTATCTAATGATAGGTCTAAAGTAAGTCTATTTTGTAGATTTCCTTTGTTTCCAAAGGAGCGACACTGGGTGGGTCGATAAGGTAAGATCTCCTACTATACATGTATCACCCGCCATGCGAATTTACACTCAGTCAAACGTCAACATCGGGAATAGAACAAAATCTATAGAATAACAGATCAAACGACTCTACTGGTATCTAAAGATCTAAAACTGAGAAAACATGTCGCTAGTCAATTGAGACAACGACAACTTGTATCTGTCAACCTTTTGGTAATGGTGACCATAAATCTAATGAAGTGGATTTTTGTTGTTCTTCTTTATGATTCTGTTGAATAGTTTTATTTGCGTACGAAACACACCCCTTTTAAGTTCATATAAAGTGAACATGCACAAGAGTAACGCATTGACTGAGATATATTGATACGACACGATGGAGCAGATGTAAGTACCTGCTGAAAAAAGGGAGGTTGACAATTGGAAAATTGAATATATTGAATATAAAACCACCTCTACTGGTACTTCATGATAGATTGCTTTATATATAAATTGGGTAAAATAATTCTACTTTTACCTTTAGATCAATACAGCATAAATCAAAAACGTATTTACAAAACAAAACTCCAAGGTATATTCAAAAAGGGGGAAGTCCACAGAACCTGAGAAAATCAAACGCTCGCGTATATCAACCATTGGAACGAATGGAAAACATCTGTCATATTCAAGAGTGTCAATTATAAGCTCATTTGGCCCAACAGGTCGGTATGAGCTATTTCTATAACTTGGCGTCCGTCTTCGTCGTTTATACAAAAATATTCTCCTTTGACGCAGGAGCACCTGAGATCCCCCGGTTTTAGGTGGGGTTCGTGTTGCTTAGTTTTTAGTTTTTAATTTGTGTTTTGTAAACTGTTGGTTTTTCGGGGTTTTTTTTGAAATGGCATTTTTAGTTTGGGAAATAAGTATTTATGGAACCTCAACATTTATGTATAAAAACTAGAAGACGTGGAATACATGACCTAGACTGCAACCCAGGAACAAAAATAACCATAAGATATCTAAAAGGCATCAGTCTTTAACAATTGACACGTGTCTATACAATATTTTAGCTCAAAATGGTTTGGAGTCGATGAAAATTGTGTTTAAATAAAACACAAAGTTGTCCTCATAACTTTTAAAAACATTAACATATGAAACAAGACAACGTAATAAGATTTTTCTGACTAAAGACCGGTTCACGAATATTAGGCGGCGTTAAACAAGATATTTAAAATCTGAGCCCTCCCCATAATTATTCTCGATCAATGGCCAACCTATACGCACATCAAATAGTACACTTTAGAGATCAGGACATCACTGAACTCCTAAATACAGGTAAAATAGAAGACGAAAAAACGAAAAATAATCATACATGATGTTATATTAAAGACTGATCGTATTCAGTGACCACAAGCTTAAAGTTCTTGACCTGTTGATGTGGAATTATGCCGTCCTATCAATTCTACCAAAAAGCTGTGCCAACCATGTCTTACACCTTTTTTTCATAGCGAGTACTTTAACAACTGAAAATGAACAAGTCAGAACAATCGAAACAAGTGAACACTTATTGAATCCAGATATCAATACTACTAAAGGAAGGAACCGATTTCATTGAGCCACAACTCCTCTGAAACCATACAAAGTCGGAAATATTTGTGATATGACGTATAAATGTAGTGTTTTGTACTTCCTAAATTTGTCTTTGAAACAATCTTTTTTCCACAGAAAATGCCAATTTTTGAGAAAATATCCAAATTCGGAGACCGTTATCGATCCATGTCTTATACGCTTTCGCGAAGGCTCAGTCGACGTACTGCCCGCGAAATTTAAAAACTCTGTTTTTAACACTTGCCCAATTGTACCGCGATTCGCGGGCATCTTCTAGTAAAACAAAAATCATAAAAGGGGCTCGTGTAGTTTAGGAAGCAAATATATATGGGAACTTTGAGATGTTCAGTAGCAGCTTTTAATTCAGTCGTTGTTGAAGTACTTCGGTAAGATATTTACGTTAATCGACGAAAACATTGTTTACACAACACGTTTTCCTAAAGTTTGTTCTATAGCCTCGGCATCTTTCAGAAGAAATCTTGTATTAGGTCATTTTAGAAATATTTAAAACAAAATATCTTCAAAAATTGATGATTTTTTAAAACAAGGAATCAAAACTTTATAATCAACATTCTCTCGTCTTTAGAATGATTTGCAGAAAGGGGAAAGGGAGGCGTTAATGAGTTTACAAAACACCTCTTCCAGTTAATTTTAAAAGGTGGATGGAATTTTGGGCCTTTCTTAGAAACACAACACCTCACGGTATTTGACAAAGTGTCCGGTAACAACATGGCCACACGGATCATATAATAACCTATGATTATCAAAGCTTTCTAGAGCAGTAAAATTGGTACCGTCAATATTATAATTACCACTTGGCTGATACCTTTGCTGGTGGACTATTTGTTCCCGATAGTATCACTAGCTTAGTAGCCAGTTCTCCTACCATGCCTTTTTTTAAATTTGTTGTTATAAAATTTCGAAATCTTTTTGAATAAAGGAATTTTTCTCCCTCGTGGAAAGCTCTGATTCCTGGTCCAGTTTTGAATTTACTTTTGTTCTATTTGTGGTTTTATCAGCTCTTAAACGTTTGTATTATGTTTTGGGCTTTCAAATATTTTTGCCAAGAGATAATAATAGTCACATTTCGCACATTTGGTTCAATACAATGGGTACCGTCAATGTTATTTCAATAACCAGTCAGGAGTGGTGTATCCAATGTCTACGTCGGCAGCAAACGATGTACAGTTAAAACTAACATTTGATCTTTTTTAGGTGTAAGATAGAATAAGTAAAGCGGTATCATAAATAACGGAGAAAAACATTTCTGAACATTACAATCATTTACTTAACATGCTATTTTGATTAAAGAAAAACAATTCTCTATCAACATATTCATGTTTCAAATTGGGTTATTTAAAATTCTAGAAAAAAAGCACAATTCTCTCTCATTATAAATCCCTATATTGTACTCAGGATGTATTGTTACTACGATTATATCATTCAGATCGACTACAGAAGACATTAGACTAAGATCCATTCATATCATTTCTAGGATCGTGTTTTAAACTTTCTTCCATACTTTGCAATTTGTCCATCATCTGAAAAAGTAAAAGAGCAAAGATGTAGACGTAACAAGTGTTTTGATCGAATTTTAAATCAATTAAAATGTCTTTTGAGAAGTTATGAAAGTGTTTCTTTATTGGACAGATATGTGCTTTAAGTTGCACTAATTTATCAACTGTTAAAATACAATGAAATAAAACAGTCATGAGTTTGCAAATAATTAAACAAATATCAGAAAAAAATCAATTATTTAAACTACAAACCATTTTCTTTGTATCCTTTAATTCTGTTAAGCTACCTTCCAGATTTTTAAGTCTGTTGATTATCTGAAAAAAGATAATAGATAATCAAACATATTCCGAGTAAATGTAGTCTTCTTTATTTTAGTAACATATTCCGAGGAAATGTAGTCTTCTTTCTTGTAATAACATATTCCGAGTAAATGTAGTCTTCTTTATTGTAATAACATATTCCGAGTAAATGTAGTCTTCTTTATTGTAGTAACATATTCCGAGTAAATGTAGTCTTCTTTATTGTAATAACATTGAGATTAAGCTTTTACAGTGACAAACTCGTATTTATACATTATGTTTGCACAGAAATAAAAAATAAACAAATAATAAAAAAAATAATTATGATTTTATTAATCAACGAATAAATATATGCATAATAGTTAACATAAAAAAGGCACATAACTACGCTGAACAGTGATAACAAAACCTATACTGTTGACACGAGGACTTTGCACAAATGTTTGTAGAAACAATGTGATGACAGACATTTACACAGTTATGTTTTGCACACAGATTTATGTACAACAATTTTGATAATAAGAGGATTTTTTTACTGGAAAATCGTTTACATCTAACATAATTGTATCAAACAAGGATATGCAATTGCACAAACAACATGACGAATGCAAAAAAGTAAAACAAAAAATACCGAACTTCAAGGCAAGTTCAAAAGGGGAAAGTCCAAAAATCAAAAGCAAACGCTATCAATCAACGGAACAAGTGCAAAACAACTGCCATATCCCTGATTTGGTACAGGCAACACATGGAACAAGTTCTGCTTACCTTGCCGTAGCACCTAAACTTACCCCCAGTCTTTTTGTGGGGTTCGTGTTGCTCAATCTTTAGTTTGCTATGTAGTATTTTGTGGAGTCGTCCGTCTTTTTGTTTTACTTGGTGTTACCAGTTTATCTTCAGCCTGTTTTTTTAAAGAATATGTTTGTTTACATACCTCTTGAGTTATCCTGTTATTACTCTCCTTTTGTATTTCTTGCTTTGTGCTATTAGAGTCAGGTTCTCTCTGAAGCATTTATAAAAACATGTTTTTATAGAAATAACGTTGACTGATTCTAATATATTTTTCTTAGTTGTTTAAAACCAGTTGTTGGCATGATACGGGTTATGTTCTTCTCATATATATTTTATGATGGTATGATACTAAACCCCTAACGGGAGGGATTATACTTGATTTTCATATGATGAAGACATAATCTTTCAATCATTTTAATTGAGATCTGGAGCTGGCATGTCAGTAACTGCTAGTAGTCCTTTGTTCATTTATGTATCATTGTCATTTTGCTTGGTTTCTTTTGTTACCTATTCGGACATCGGACTCGGACTTCTTTTGAACTGAGTTTTACTGTGCGTATTACTATGTGTTTCTTTATTATACATTGGCTAGAGGTATAGGGGGATGGTTGAGATCTCACAAAGCATGTTTAACCCCGCCGCATTTTTGCGCCTGTCCCAAGTCAGGAGCCTCTGGCCTTTGTTAGTCTTGTATGTTTTTTAATTTTAGTTCATTTATATGTTTTGGAGTTTAGTGTGACGTCCATTTTCACTGAACTAGTACACTATTTTATTTAGGGGCTAGCTGAGGACCACCTCCAGGTGCGGGATTTTCTCGCTGCGTTGAAGACCCAGTCTGTTCTTTGGTCGAGTTGTTGTCTCTTTGACATATTCCCCATTTCCATTCTCAATTTTAGAGATACATGAATGCACAACTGTTTAAATTAAACACATTTAATGATATTGATAAATGCATGATCCGTCATTGTATCTGATAGGACACCGTAAATTCTGAAAACAACACTTTATAAATTGCATGCGTCCGAAGCGCTTTTTATGATTTTTGTTCGTCAGGAACACTCAATGACGACTAACTGAAAACTAAGGATGCATAAGAACCGAACCAGTTGAAGAGCTACATGACCCCCCCCCCCAAAAAAAAAAAAACAAACAAACAAAAAAAAACCTAAAATTAATAGCCAAATTGATCTAATTCAGCATTGTCGGAGGGAATTGAAACCTTAGTTTCTAAATAATTTATAAATTTATAAACAGACAATTTTTCAAAAGTTTGTTAAAAATCATTTCAGTACCGAAATACTGACTACTGAGCTGATGATACTCTCGTGCATAAATAGTATACTAGTCGCGGTATCGACCCAGTGCTGTTAAAAATGAAAACAACACTTTATAATGTTCATGCGTTCGAGGAGCTTTTCTGGATAAACCTTTATCAGAAATTTCCGATGTCGAATATTTGAAAGCCAACGATGTATAAGAATCGATACAATTGGAGAGCTACATGTTCAAGATACAATTTACATTTAAAATTCCCCAAATCTATACGTTTCACATATAGCTGTTTTAACATAGAATTAAAACCAAAACATGTTAAATTACCTTGATAATTTCCGTATGCTACACTAATTTGGAGTTGGGTAACACCCCTACGATAACTACACCGATTATCTCAGTTTTTGTTCATTGCCTAAAACCCATATGACTTCTACACCGATTATCTCAGTTTTTGTTCATTGCTTAACGACATACCGATTATCTCAGATTTTTGATTGCTTAACGACACACCAATTACTACACCGATTATCTCAGTTTTGTTCATTGATTAACGACACACCGATAATCTCAGTTTTTGGTCATTGCTTAACGACACACCGATTATCTCAGATTTTTCATTGCTTAACGACACACCAATTACTACACCGATTATCTCAATTTTTGTTCATTGCTTAACGACACACCAATTATCTCAGTTTTTATGTATGACTAAAAGGCACACCGATTACTACATCGATTATCTCAGTTTTTGTTCATTGGTTAACGACACATGGATTACTACACCGAATATCCCAGTTTTTATTTATGGCTTAACGACACACCGATAACTATATCGATTATGTCAAGTTTTTGTTCAATGCTTAACACCCAACCGATTACTACATCGATTATGTCAGTTGTTGTCATTGCTTAACGACACCCCAATTACTACACCGATTATCTCAATTTTTATTCGTTGATTAAGGACACACCGATTATCTCAGTTTTGTTCATTGTTTAACGACACACCGATTACAATACCGATTATCTCAGTTTTTATAAACGGGTAAAAGGCACACCGATTACTACATCGATCATCTCAGTTTTTGTTCATTGCTTAACGACACACGGATTACTACACCGAATATCCCAGTTTTTTTAAGGCTTAACGACACACCGATAAATATATCGATTAAGTCAAGTTTTTGTTGAATGCTTAACGCCCCACCGATTAATACGTCGATTATGTCAGTTGTTGTTCATTGCTTAACGACACCCAAATTACTACACCGATTATCTCAATTTTTGTTCGTTGCTTAACGACACACCGATTACTAAACCGATTATCTCAGTTTTATTGATGGCTTAACGACACATCGATTACTACTTCGAATATCACAGATTTATTCATTGTTTAACGACACGCGGATTACTACACCGAATATCCCAGTTTTTATTTATGGCTTAAGGACACACCGATAACTACTTCGATTATGTCAGTTTTTTGTTCAATGCTTAACACCCCACCGATTACTACACTGATTATGTCAGTTGTTGTACATTGTTTAACGACGCCCCAATTACTACACCGATTGTCTCAGTTTTTGTTCATTGCTTAACGATGCACCGATTACTACACCGATTATCTCAGTTTTTGTTTATTGCTTATTGACACACTGATTACTACATCGATTATGTCAGTTTTTATTCATGGCTTAACGACACACCGATTACTACATCGATTATCTCAGTATTTGTTCATTGTTTAACGACTCACGGATTACTATACCGAATGTTCCAGTTTTTATTTATGGCTTAACGACACACCGATAACTTGATCGATTATGTCAGTTTTTTTGTTCAATGCTTAACACCCCACCGATCACTACACCGATTATGTCAGTTGCTGTTCATTGCTTAACGACACCCAAATTACTACACCGATTATCTCTGTTTTATTTATGGCGTAACGACACACCGATTACTACATCGATTATCTCAGATTTGTTCATTGTTTTACGACACACGGATTAATACACCGAAAATCCTAGTTTTTATTTATGGCTTAAGGACACATCGATAACTACATCGATTATATCAGTTTTTTTAATGCTTAACACCCCACCGATTACTACACCAATTATGTCAGTTATTGTTCATTGCTTAACGACAACCCAATTACTACACAGATTATCTCAATTTTTGTTCGTTGCTTAACGACACACCGATTATCTCAGTTTTTTTGTTCATTGCTTAACGACACAGAGATTACTACACCGATTATCTCAGTTTTATTTATGGCTTAATGACGCACCGAGTACTACATCGTTTATCTCAGATTTGTTCATTGTTTAACGACACACGGATTACTACACCAAATATCCCAGTTTTTATTTATTGCTTAAGGACACACCAATAATTACATCGATTATGTCAGTTTTTTGTTCAATGTTTAACACCCCACCGATTACTTCACCGATTATGTCAGTTGTTGTTCATTGTTTAACGACAACCCAATTACTACACCGATTGTCTCAGTTTTTTGTTCGATGTTTAACACCCCACCGATTACTACACCGATTATCTCAGTTTTTGTTTATTGCTTATTGACACACTGATTACTACATCGATTATGTCAGTTTTTTGTTCAACGCTTAAAACCCCACCGATTACTACACCGATTATGTCAGTTGTAGTTCATTGCTTAACGACAACCCAATTACTACACCGATGATCTCAGTTTTTGTTCATGGCTTAACAACACACCGATTACTGCATCGATTATCTCAGTTTTTATTCATTGCTTAACGACACACCGATTATCTCAGTTTTTGTTCGTTGCCTAACGACACACTGATTACTACATCGATTATCTCAGTTTTTATTCACTTCTTAACACAGCATCCGATTACATCAGTTTTTGTTCATTGTTTAACACAATACCCTTTTACCCCCGTTTTTTATCATTGCTTAACGCAATATGTAATTATCTCAGTTTTTGTTAATTGCTTAACACAAGTGTTTCTTTCACATCGATTTATGAAATTTATCATCGGTAAACTACTGCAGTTATTGCATTAACTTCATGACACATTGAAACATTCTCTTTTTTCGTAATACAATTTGCCAATTACAAATTTTATGAATAAAGTCGAGCAATCGATTGAACCGTCTTGACAGCCAACTCCCGACTTTCTGTATTAGAAACTTGTAACGGCGGCTTCGATGGTGAAAGCACGTAGATTCACGTTGGTTAGATCAAAACAAACTGAAATATTCCATATTCAGAAAAAAAATATCATAGCTTAATGACATTTTTTTATTTGTAGAAAATGAAACAACACGTTATAAATGTCATGCGTCCGAAGCGCTTTTCTAAATTTACCTTCATCATGAACGCTCAAAGAAAAATATTTGAAAGCCAAGAATGTACAAGAACCGAAACAGTTGAAGAGCTATATAACCAAAAAGGAGCTAAAAAAATAGCAACATCTATCTCAGGTCAGCTTTACATGAGGGAGTTGACACCTTGGTTTCTTTATAATTTCAAAATTTATAAACGGACAATTTAAAGAAGGTTTTTAATAAATAAATATTATACAATATGATTTAATTTTCAGTCATCTTTTGGTTGCATGAACATACTAATAGTGCCAACGTTGCCCAAAACACAATGCTTTCTGTATAAAAACATATGTATAACGAATTGATGTATATGACATGTATGATTTAATTATATATTTACATCTAAATCGATCACTCGTATTCGACAATCAAAATTAATTACTGTTAAACAAAAGAAAAGGTTTACCGTAACTGTGTTAACATCTATTTTCCTGCAAAAAAAAAATAATCGTCATCCGTAATAAAAAGAAAATGCACATTATAGCAAATGTTTTTTTTTTTCTTTATTTCAAATGAATTCTTGACAGCTGATCTGTCACATAAAGATCATCTTAAATCATCAAACCAATTATTACATGATTTCAGAAAACGAACGGCTCGAGTAGGAACAACTAATTTGAAATATACGTGGTGACCTTAACAATGTTAGATCTGAAATATTCTCCCCTCAGCGGAGACATGGCCAACACTTTGGCCATAACCCTACGCCACTCGGACAACTAGACTTTATCTATATTTATGGAAAATATTAAGAAGGAAATTTATGATCATCATTGTCATTATACCTTAAAAACATACACATTATATATGCAAACTTAATGTTTTCTCTTTTTTTCCGATCCTTTAATTGCACACATTATAACTTGATGTTTCAAGTTTAAGGATGTAGTCATTTCAGGTTAAGGAATTTTTTTCAGATGTTCGGACTCCTTGGGTTTTTCCAACGACATAAGGTAAAATATTTTGCCCCATATCACCCACTTTTCTTTTCCTAGAAGACTTAAATAGCTCATAAAAGGTCGTTACTAAAATTTAAGCAGATTCTAGATTTCCTTTCTTACGATTTGAGATCCAAATAATGTCAATGCTAAATATAAGGCTAAAGTCCGAGTCAAACTTATCCCGCCATTTTTTAAAAATCAAATATCTCGAAAAGGAGTGCCAAAACCTATCATTATTTTGAGATTATTTTGTTTCTTAACCAATGCTCTTCTGAATTATAATATGAATTTTAAATTCCAATTTTTTTAAAATTTCACCTGAAAACATCCTTAAGTGTGACACCGTCCTTACTTCTTTGTAATATTGGCCACTTGACGACGAAAACACATAGCAACAAGAGTTTAAACATTAATCAAGCTCTATTAATTTTTTCTTCACATAGACAACATGGAAAACATGTATTTTAAAGGAAAATATAATTCTTATTTGGGAAGATTAGATTTCAAATAAAGAAAAAGAAGAACACACTGTCTCTAAAATTCATTACACACCATTCAAATATACACTACAAATAGACAATAATGCATTGGATAGTATATTTACCCTTGGTCTCTTTGAGCCTTTGTCTCCTCTGCTTCTGTCGATTTAAGTTTCAAATCATAATTAGAATCAAAGAGAAAAACTGAAAGTAAAGCATCAAATACTTTTACGATAACTATCAATAGTTAATTTAATTTTTTCATATATTTTTCATTTAAGACTTCATGTAATATAGGGACACTGGTTTAATGTCTTTTTAAACAATGAATGAATATTCTGTAATTGGAACTTCACTTAAATACACGAATAAAGTGAACAACACCTATTTCTATCAAAATAAATATTTTTGAGAAGAGTCAACACTAGATAACTAAAATCATAATATAGATATAAGATGTGGTATGAGTGCTAATGAGACAACTCTCCATCCAAGTCACAATTTGTAAAAGTAAACCATTACAGGTCATAAGTACTTTTACATTAAAATGCCTTCTTAAGGATATCACCAAAACAAGGACTACTAAGCATCTTCAATTTTCCAATTTGACACAGATCGACAACTTCAAGGTAAAATAGCAGACTTGATCAAATTACCATTTCTCTGCAGCAACTTACCCTCTTTGTCATAGCGTTTACATATTTTAAACAATGCTTTACGCACGTGTATCGTCACACTATACATGCTTCATGATTAAAAAATGCTTCAACACAGTTACACCCCCCCCCCCCCCCCCAGGGTGACTAGCGAATAGAAATATGGTCACCACTGTTCTTCCACCGACCCCAGTAAAACCCTCGCAAATTTTTACCGACCTTCATCCCGGACCGTCTCTATTACAGGACTTACCTATTGTATTAATTGTTAATTTGTTCTCGTCCTGAATATGCATGACATATTTGCCACTGTACGTTAAGCAACCAACAATCAATCAATCAATCAACGCAATTAAGTGGAAAACGACTGATATCAACATACACAGGTTTAACGGAATGAAATGGTTGACCGATACGCTATGTTGTGTACAAACTCAATAGCGACATGTTTTTGCTGTCATAGACTTTCGGATAACAGAATAGTCGTGCGATATGTGACATTACAGACAAGGTACTATTCATAGTTGTGACATTTGTTGTGAGTAAGTGTGGATACGCATTGCGATTGATGGCATACTAACAGACGCTTACCCTTTCGAAGCAACCGTTTAGTGTTCATTTGATTCCCCCAGTTTTTAATTATTTACCTTGATTGATTCTTCGCATTTGTATTTGCACTTGAGGTTATAACTGTAAAAGTTTAAGTGTACATCTTTCTTTGAAATGTCTGCAAATTGACTTATCTAAACAAACTTTTCGAAAACCTTCTATTTTTTAAAAGTGCACTATACCTCTGACAAATGGTGGGTGATGATTAAGCTCTTTAGTACGATCAGTTTCGTCAGAATTCTGTTGTCGTAGATTTGCGCAGAGAAGCCACACAATTGCAACTACGGTTCCCGGTAAGGTAAGTAACTGGAGGTGTATTGGAAATATTGTTTGAATACTATATTCCTCAAGAAAAGATGTCTGTAGCTCCGACCAATAAATCATCGATTTTGTATGGACGTCCTCAAAAATGTTACTGAAATTCATTTGAGCAAAGGTGTCAAAATTCGTTTTACAAACAATATGTGTTTATCTTTGGAAAATATGTCTGTTTGGGTTGCTCAGCAACATTTTGTCAATATAACGGACATATAAGCAACTGTCATACAAGTAGGAGGTTTATTTTGTTATAAAACCAGATAAAACCACCATTTTCGGAAAATGCTTGTTCCAAGTCAGGAATATGAAAGTTGTTTTCCACTCGTTCATTTGGTTGCAAACGTTTGATTTTGTCAGTTTTTATGGACTTCCACTTTTTGAATATATCATGGAGTTCAGTATTTTTGTCATACTTTTTTCAAATGCAATGTTGAAGAGTATTAAAAACCAAAAATTCCGATAAGTTGTGCGATACGGATAATACGATCTATTCCTGGGGATAGACAAATATTAGTGTTCCAAATAATTTAACATTTAAAAACATTACATTTACAAAAAAATGAATTCAGTACATGTATCAATACCAAAGTGCTGACTACAGGATTTGTAAAAAAAGGCAACAGTAGTATACCGCTGTACAAAAGTCATAAATCGATTGAGAGAAAACAGATCCGGGTAACAAACTAAAACCGAGGGAAACCCTTGTTGACGAAATGTGTTAATCCGTTGTCACAGATAATATTTGTTTAACGAAGCAGACAGGACTACAAACAAAATAACTACATTTGTAAGTGTTTTCTGTGATTAGAAGCATATTTATTAGTTCAATATTTCCTTAGTTTAGTTTTTTATGTTTTGTTTTGTTTTGTATATAATTGGTTGTCGTTTGGTCGTTTTTCGTTTTTTCCATTGGCAATGACTTCTGAGTTTGAATTTTCCTCTGGTATTTTTAGCCTCTCTTTTGTATAGATCTGAGCACATTCAATATCATGTTTTTTTGCATTGTTCAGCGTATACCATTTACTTTATACCTGTACATAGCTATCAAAAGATTCAGCATTATGACCACTGCTATCAATGCGTAAAGGGCTTTTAAGTAAGGTGTAATGTATAAACCAAGTTTCGTTGGACATCGCGGTAAAACTCCACTCACATCACTTTCATATATTGTCTTGTTGAAGGTGCAGTTCGGTTCAGTCACTAAGATTGAATGAGACACAAAATTAGAAACAGAGAAGCAATAATAAACTAATTTTACCAAACAATTTTGTACATTTCACTTGAGAAAGAGTTGTTCTTATTATTATAATTTACAAATCTAATAATTTATGCTCTTTCAAAACATGTCAAGTTTAATATACAATTTGGTGTCTCAATTTTATTGCGGGAAAAGAAAGTATATCTTATTTATGAAGATAGATAGTATAATAATTTTAACCATGTCACAATTGTTATAAAAAAAACCGATTAGCATAGTTTCACAAAATAGAAAACAGATAAAAATAAAGTGTATGAATCATGTATATTTATATAATAACAAAATCAATTCCACAAAAATGATTTTAAGACTGTCACAGTAAAATGTGTTCGTAAATAAACAGGTTTTACGTAAGATGAACTACCAAAAACATCTTGCAAATTTTATTTCACATCTGCTCTCAAATGTTTACTTGCGTTAACCAAAATATATATACACAGATATAAAATCTTTATGCATTTATTAGATTAAAGTTGATTAAAGCCGCGCTAGATTTCTTGACGGTGTATCTATTAAGTTATGTAAATTAAAGTTTGATCTATCTAGTCTTTTTCCTTGAAACAAATCAAACAGCAAGAGCACACGCTTTTTAAATGCTGCAAATAATAAACCAGTAGGAGTACCGTATTCGGAAAGTAAAAGATTTATATATTTTAAAAGATGCTAAATTGATATTTAAACTCATGAGTCGAAAACGAACTGAAAAGCAGATAAATAGTATACAAAACACAACATAGAAAACTGAGCAACACGAACCCCACCTTAAATTGAGAGGGATCTCAGGTGCTCAAGAACGGTAAGCAGTTCCTGCTCAATATGTGGCACCCGTTGTGTTTCTCTTGTAGGTACAAACACGATAATAAGTCTTATTCGGTAGGTCAAATCGATGACAAGAGGACGGGAATGAATGTGGTTATAACAATTGGTACATATCCGTCGTCATATGTGAAAAAAATATTGCATATCGGTCAACCAACTCATGATGGCGTCCGTAAAGTGTTCTATTGATTAATTGATTGGTGTTTAAGGCCACTTTCAACACTATTTTGCTATTTCGTGCCGGTAAGTTTTTATGGATGGAGGAAGCCGGAGTCCCCGCAGGAAACCAACGACCTTCTGAAACCCGTCTTTCCCTTTTGTTTATGTACAAAATGACATGTTTCTTAAAATCAGTATTATTGCTGTATTTATATTATTTCGTTTTAAAGATTTCGTTATACACTGGCTCACACAATGAAATTTCAGTTCAAACGAGTTAATTCGCGAAACTCACCTGAACTGAAAATCACACGAATTTGTTTACGTTAATTTTCAAAAAAGGTATTTAAACACCATTAAAATCATGAAAAATACATATTTTCTTTATAAAGTTCAAGTAAAATTCACGTGAAAAATTTCACTTGAAATTAATGTGAATCTTAATTCACATGAAATTAACGTAAATTTTTTCATGTGAGTTACACGTATAATCTCGTTTGAGTTGAATTTCACATGAGTATTTTCACGTGAATGTCACGTGAACTTTACACAATAAATTAGCATTTTAGTTAAATTTAAAATTAGAATACAGTAAAAAAGTAAAATAGCAAAAATGCCGAACTCCAAGGAAAATTCAAAACGGAAAGTGTGTTTATCAAAAGGCAAAATCACAAGCTCAAACAGATCAAACGAAAGTTTACTTGCACCTTGTTCTTGCTAACAAAACGATCCTTAATACCAAAACCTTCCTGACTCAAAAATATATATGACGGTACCTTTAACATTTAGGAAAGTGATAATAGTTGCATCATTCTATACGAAATCGAAATTATAAACCATATTGTTAAAGTAATAAGCAGTAGCGTAACAAAATAGGTACACATATCAATTTAAAAAATTAGATAATGATAGATGTTATATCTTCCCTAGTTCCGGTTGTAATTCCTCATTGCATGGAATTGTCTTGCATATCATTTCTCATTTTGACAAAATAGTACTTAAGGTAATGAAATATTTATTTGACTCTTACATGTATCAGCTTCTAAGTTCACTTCTCCAAATAATATCCAATATCCATTCGATAAAATTTTTTCGATCTCTGTCCAGCTAGCCTCAGAATTCGGATATAGAAGCGCATAAAAAGACACGCTGTACCAAAACATTATGACAAACATAATTGTCATGAATGCAATAGTATGGTTAATCTGAAATTAGAATATACCAAACATGACCCGTACATAAATAAAAAAAACCAATAATATCACTAAGTAGGAAAACTTGTTCTTCTCTGATTTGAAAAGCAAATTCAGATTTTCATGTTGTAAATTTTAGCCTCGGCAGCTCGAAAAGTATCACTTTTATTGTGATAATGATGTTGATCATTTGATTTTAATATTTTTATTTACTACAATAGTTTTGGTAAAACGTTCAGTAGAAAAATGCTAACACAAATTGAAGAAATGGAGTAAAAAGTTAGGTTAACAACTTAGTGTCTTGATACCTTGCAATAGCAAGTAAGTGGATGAGAGGCAACAGTTCCGACTGTCCGTAATATTGAATTATTGAGATTATATTAAACCTTACGATTCGAAAATAACAAAGAAACTTATTATTTCCATAACCTCAAAGGGTGACTCGGGAATAGAAATATGGTCACTACAGGTCTTCTTTAGACCAGCAGTAAAACCCTTACCGAGGTGGGGCGTCCGTTTAGCTAAGCGGGATGTACAAGTACGCAGCCACATCCGGTCAGAATGGGGATGTTAAATCCGATGCCTCTTGTAGAGAGAATGTCACGCTCTCTGCACGTTTAGAACCCTTGCAACAACACTTTGAGGGGTCCGTAGGTGGCCTGTTACAAGACTTGAATTGTTTTATACTAGTCATGTTGGGGTCCTTTATAGCTTGCTGTTCGATGTGAGCCAAGGCTCCGTTTAGAAGACCGTACTTTTACCTATTATTGTTAACTTTTTATAAATTGTGACTTGGATGGAGAGTTGTCTCATGTGCACTCATACCACATCTTCGGATTTATATAGTCTTACATACCATCATTCGAATTATGATTAACTTTGGTCCGAGAAACTCATTTATGTAGTACAAACTGAGTAATCTTATGCAAATAAGCATAAATATTGCAACTAATAAACATTTTGACGTAGTTCGGAAAAAAGATCCTTCAACAGCTCTCAGTAGCATTCCAGACGTATATCCTATAATCAAAATGCAATCTGCTATGTTCCACCAATCACGAAAATATGGTTTGATTCTTTTTCTTACTAAAGCAACAATAACCTAAAACAAAATAGACATGTACGTTAAACGGAACCAATTTAAGCTTATATATTACACACCTTTTATAAACTATTACACACCTCCTATTATATATTACACACAGTCTATAAACTATTACTAACCTCCTATAAACTATTACACACCTTCTATAAACTATTACTCACCTTCTTCAAACTTTTACTCATATTCTATAAACTATAACACTACTATTATTCCGATAAGGTATCATTCATAAATAGCACACTTATAATTACAGCCAGTCATTAGTGATATTGTCCATTACACTTCTACAAAACTGAGAGTGACTTGATAAAAGAAAGGCGAAAGATACCAAAAGGGACATTCAAACTCCTAAGTCGAAAATAAACTGACAACGCCATGACTAAAAAAGAAAAAGACAAACAGACAAACAATAGGACACAAAACACAACATAGAAAACTAAAAACTGAGCAACACGAACCCCACCAAAAACGGTTGGTGATCTCAATTGCTCCGGAAGGGTAAGTAGATCTTGCTCCACATGTGGCACCCGTCGTTATAATCTAGACACCATGTATCAGGAGCTAACTTGTAAACAACAACACGCTTTTCAGAAAATCATACAGGGGAAGACAAAGTAAAAAATAACCAAAATATACAAATGTATATAAACTCCATATTAAGTTCTTTTGAAACCTTTTAACATGAGCATAGAATGTTCATAATGGTAGATTGAAGTCATCTCCTTTGTCGCAGTTTTCAATTGACCCTGTCCGTCAAATATTAAGCGTAAGATAAAACTTTCATGAAACCTGTTTTGCTTCTCTGCAAAAGAATTATTTTATATTTGGTCTGCAGCTTGATAATGTTGAGTTGTAGCATGTGAGATATTTTTACATCTGCCGTACAGCAAATTCTTGTCTGCCGATAGTTCGATTTTACCACACTCGTTTAACAATGAAATATTTCGTTAAAATGACTGTTCTTCTATGAGAGGGCATGATCAGTTATGATTCAGTATGCATGTTACCTTATTTATTTGCGTACAGCGATGCAAGTCCAGACACGGTTTTGTCTTAATTGAAAGAGTTATATATATATATAATGTATAGCATTTTGTCATTCATTTCTACTCTGCCATCAGTGATACAATATTTCTATTAGTTTGTAATAAGGAATGCGTCTAAAGGGCGGAAAGGTTCAACAATTGATATTATGATTATTAAGTATAAGTAAAATTATCATAAATATGAATAAGATTCAAGTGTTTAATCAAGGAAACAGTTGAGAAAAAGCATGAGATTTTGGACATATTTTACTGTCGACATAAGAGGTCACCTGTTTTGTTTCATTTACAAAGAAACTAGCCATCCACGCTATTATAATAAAGTCAATATAGGTGATTCCATCTTCTCTGTAGTCAAACAGCAACATGTATGCATATGCAAGAAGGAGAAAAGTGAATTCCAGCTGTAACATTAATAAACAAAACAAATGTTATTACAAAAATATATTGCCATAGCGTCATTATTTAGAAAATATTTGTTACACACTCTTAGCTTTGCAATGTTTTGTAGTCTAAATTGAAATTACAACTGTTGATATTATGCTGACGTGATTTTTTTTTGGGGGTTAATGTGTTATTCGTTGACGGACTTTAGTAGCGTACCATGCAGAAACATAGAAACTTTTTGATGCTGTATGAATACGACATATTTATGTAACTTTTAATACGTTGATTGTTGATAAAACGAAATTGACTGGTTTGAAACGTTAAAAGAAATTTTAAACAAGTCAAGTGTGTATCGATTAACCAGTTGAATACTTAAACAAAACATTGAGTAATCTTGTGACAAAAGACAAGACACAATGAACACAATTAAGTGAATGCATTTCTTAGAAACAAAAAGATTTACAAGTATTATGTACTAATGATAAATAGAAAATTCCTGAATAATAGCCAACGATAAATCTTACGAGGCGATGGATCATATAAATATGATACAGTACACTACAAAATATAATAAGCAAGTCTATAAGGGTACAACATCACCAAAAAAATAGTAAAATCATGAATAATGATATGATGTGGTATGATTGCCAATGAGACAACTATCCACCAAAGTTCAAGTGAAGTGGATGTTAGCAATTATAGGCAACTGTAATGTTTACATTGTTTAGGTTTGCAAATTGTTTAAATTATGAACTTTCATACCGAATGTATAAATATTTTCATGAATGGCAGCTTGTACTTTTTGTAAAACCTGAAATAAATTGAAAAGTTAACGATTATTTTAGAATGGTTACCGGAATAAAAAATAGTTACTCTCATGATACCTGTATAGCTAGTTACTATGCATGTCATTAGGAAAGAACAAACCCGAACCCTTGAATCCCAAGGATGTGAAAACTTCAATATCCGAGAATCTGTAAGATAAGGCTCTCAAATCAACCAAAGGTCAATGTTAGGGTTTATCAGCAAAAACATAGTCCGATTTATATATGCTAAACTTCTCTTACAGTGCACACAAAATTACAATTTTCGTTGAAATATCGATCGACAAAATTCAACACTTATATATTGTCGATCAAAATGTCCAGCATTTTTATGATATAATCTTTGGTGACTATAGTCTTGCGTGTGATTATAAGTAAGTTAGATTTATCATGACCGAAACCAAGGTATTCATATTTACCATTCCCATTTTTGCATGATGTGATGGAAGAATTTTGGAGTGAAACTGCATAGCGAAATAAAGGTCTCGACACAAAAATATTGCTTTTGGGTTCCTGGGTTGGACTCTTACATATTCTATGTGATAGGTTGGTCGCTGTTTTTTCAACAACTAGTTGAATACATATAACGCAAATTAAGGATTTGACACATTAAGCATTAGCAATAAATTCTGCTTAGTAGGACGAGGCGATGAATTTACAGATGAACACCTGCCACAGACAACAATGGATAGGGACAACTATTAAGAGTTATTTAAATGGGTTTTTAACGTGCATAGATCATAGCACTCTCCCTTCAAGTGGCATCGGATATCACGCGCGAAAGCTGAGTATGACAAGGATATAATAAGATACGTAAAGAGTAACATGAACGATAGTAATTATCTTATTGGAAAGCAAAAACGATATCAAGTCAGGTGTGATTAGGGTTGATAGAACTCATTAAACGGTTTGATATAGTTGAATGAAATACATATTTTAACAGATACATAATTATAGATTATTGATGATTTTTCGAAAGGGCGACAGCCCTGAGATGAGATGTGGCTGATAAACATCCTCGAGTTTGAAAGACCATTGATTATTTGTTTATCGCTATTTTGCCAATGAGGTCGTTCATGTTTACATTGACAACGTCACGTGCGCCCTTAGTTTCTGACGATAATATTCCATCTCCAGCGAGTAGCATGATATGAAAAATTATCACCAAAAAGATCAAAGGAAAAATGCACAAAATAGCGATAATTGCATTTATTGTAATAAAGAAGAATGTTGAGTTGCAAAATTTATCTTACCAAAGTAATAGACGATTATCCATCTCCATGTTAATCATTAATAAAGGCATCACAAATAGATGGACTGAGAACAGAACAATATACCAAAAAGTCTGAAAACAAAACATTTATTACATATTTAATGTAGCTTTAGGTTCTAGTCTTGTTTACCAATTGTAACACCAATGATCTTATATTTTCATAACCTCATCATAGATACCATTCAGACGCGCGTTTCATCTACAAAAGTCTTAGCAGTGACATCGAAATATTTAAAGGCCAAATAAAGTACGAAGTTGAAGAGCATTGAGGACCTAAAATTCCGAAAGGTTTTGCCAAATACAGCTAGGTATCAATTCCTGCAGTAGAAAATCCTACGTTTTTCGAAAACTTGATGGCATATATATATATCGTTCTATCGTTTCGTTATGATTAAAATGTCTTTTTGTATTTTCACGTTGGTATTCTCTTGTTTTTGGATGTTCTACATTGTTTAGATATTTGCCCTAGTATTCAAATTATTCTGCTCATTTTGAAAATTATCGAAACATTTGATGAAGTTGTTTTGCGTATTTCTTTTTGTCTATTGTTTTCTCCTTTTTTGGGGGGATGTGTGGGTAAGGTAGCATTTTTTTGATTGTCAATTAGTTCGTTCCTACATATTTGAGATTCTCCTTGTCTTGCATTCGCTTCCTTACTTTCCTCATCTCTCCCCGTAACGGAACGATTTTAGATATAAACAAGCCAACGGATTAATCATATCAATGAAATGTTAGTTTTGTTTACTTACCGTATGACCATCTATATTCTCTGTACCATACCACATCTTTTTTAAGATTTTCTTTACTGTGTCGTTTTCAACGAAATTTTGGTTTTTACTGTTGATAGCATCCATTAGATATCCATGATTCAACAAAAGCCTTCCTGCATGATTGATGGCATCACCCAGCTCTCTTTCTTCTGTTTTGTTCTCTTTAATTGTCATTTGTTTCTTTCGTTCCTTTGTAACATCAGCATCATAGATATGCCGAATTATGCAGATAACTCTTTCAGTGAAGACACTTGAACAATATATTAACAAAATGAAAAGACTTATATATATATATATATATACCTCCCACATCTCCTTCACTTATAACTATTGTTAACAATTGAAGTTACATTACAGCATAGGGGAAGGTTTACAAACACATTGTTTATGTGACTTTTCCAAGCCAGTCACATGTTATCCGTTGTTTGTCGTTGTTTATGTGACTTTTCCAAGCCAGCCACATGTTATCCGTTGTTTGTCGTTAGTTTCTGTCTGCCTTATCATTAACCATTCATTTTTATAGTATAAATCAGGTAATTTGATTTTTTCTTCTGAAATGTGTCACATTTTGTATTTTAAAACTTACTATATGGTGTTTGGTTCACGCATTTAAAGAGGCCCATAAGATGACATGTAATTGTTAATATCTTTGTTCTATAGAAAGTTGTCTTATTGGCAATCGTATCTCATTTCCTTCTTTTGAATTAACTAGATACACATAAAATCAAGCAATAAACACTCATGCAGAAAAGAAATTGCTAAGTAGATTTACAAAACAAGCAAGTCATTTCTATGTGGAATATTGTTTATTAAGATTTAAATTTCTAGTCATTTCATTTGAAGATATTCACAAATCATCTAATCTCTGAGCAATTTAAAATTGCTATTTTGAATGAGGGCTTGTCATTTAATCATATGTTTTTATATTTTTTTAAATGCATGACCAAATCAGTGACGTCAACTGTACCTTTAGGTCGTAATAAGCTGTTGATGTTAAAATACAAACGTAAACGCTACTTTTAAATTAGTCTTTTAATATCAGATTTATTAAATAAAATTGAGAATGAAAAAGGGGAATGTGTCAAAGAGACAACAACCCGACCATAGAGCAGACAAGAGCCGAAGGCCACCAGTGGGTCTTCAATGCAGCGAGAAACTCCCGCACCCGGAGGCATCCTTCAGCTGGCTCCTAAACAAATATGTGTACTAGTTCAGTGAAAATGGACGTCATACTAAACTCCAAATTATACACAGGAAACTAAAATTAAAATTGATACAAGACTAACAAAGGCCGGAGGCTCCTGACTTGGGACAGGCGCAAAAATACGGCGGGGTTAAACATGTTTTTTTGAGACCTATGCTACAATGCACATCTCATCGCAAAATTGACATTTGATTGCCAACATTAATGCTTTGGCTACACAAGAAGCATACACTACGTCGAGGTATTTAAAGCATTCGTCCTTTAAACGCATGAAATAATTGCAACTGGACGTTAAGTCAGCAGTCAATCAATCAGTAATAAACACGTTGTAATATGTTTTATTTTATTTGCATCATTACTTTTTTAAACGTTGTAGTTTTTCCTTCAAGTGTGTCGCTGTTTTCCAATTTCTGATTTCATCTTCTAATATAGCACACCCAACAAGAAGATGATGATTCCCAATCTGAATGAAGAAATGTTAATTTGGTCATCTTTTATAAGGTATTATATCTGAACCTATATTGTTTTCTGTTTGGTATTAAATTAAGAATTAAGATTCATTTTGTTACATCTGGTGATCCGTTTATTTGGCAATCGCCATGGCAGTCAGCAGAGTTTAAGAACATCCGTTGTTCGACCTGCTAGTCAAATGCGTTTTGTTAAAATATACTTTTTCACCTTTTGGGTATTTTGGAAAATGTTGTTTGTGCTGTATTTAGACCCCTCTACCATGAAATTTGTTTTGCATGCACACGTATAAAAATTGCGGTTTTTATCCAACGCAACCATAGGTTTGAACGTTGTTTTCAATTTAGACTTGTTTATATATATAGATATATATATTTTATATATTTTGTTTGTTCTCATTTTTTAAAATAAACTTCATCGAATAAACTGATATTTTGTGGTTTAATTCTTCGCTTCTTAACACAATTTGCAATACGAGTTTTTCAGATATAAATTAACGTAAGAGTAAATATATTTTTTTCAGTCGGGCATCGTTCTTTCAACATTCTTGGATCGTCCTTATAGCGTTTGAGCATTGTTAGTACAATATTCGTGTATTTCCATACATCATTCGTTCATTATATAGATAATCATCTAGTTAACTACAGCTTCTCGTTATTTAATATTATATTGTATCATTTAGCGCATGGTATAAATTAGCCTTTCGTTCGTCGTAATATATCGTGCAGCGTTTCTTTCGTCATATGATGTATGGTATCGTTAGCGTTTCTGTAAGGGTATACTATATGATAATTTCCTTGATATAAACTCATCACATCTACAAGGCTTGTAATCTAGTGCGTCAGACGGGCGTTTAACAAATAAAATTGTATCGTTCTAAAATTGGTATTTTAATTTGAGTTGTATTTCGTCTTCATACGAATTTTCAGTAGCGCTTAAATTAACAAAGTTGGAAGGCGAACATTCAGTATGAAGTTAAAGAGCATTCAAACCCCTATTTTTAAAGTCGTAACAAATACGGATTATGTCAGCTATATACATCCTCGGATTTCAAATGTTTGGCTTTGAGCGTTTCTGATGAAGGTAAATCCAGAAAAGCGCTTCGGACGCATGAAATTATTAAACGTGTTGTTTTCAATTTTTTACATCACTGGGTCGATACCTCTGCTGGTGGACTACCAGTCCCCGAGGGTATCATCAGCTCAGTAGTCAGTACTTCGGTACTGACATGATTTATAACAAACCTTTCTAAAATTGTCTGTTTATAAGTTTTGAAATTATAAAGAAACTAAGGTTTCAACTCCCTCAGACAAAGTTGACCTTAGATGAATTTGGCTATTTATTTTAGGTTTTTTTGTCATATAGCTCTTCAACTGTTTCGGTACTTATACATCCCTCGGATATCAAATGTTTGGCTTTGAGCGTTCCTGATGAAGGTAAATCCAGAAAAGCGCTTCGGACGCATGAAATTATTAAACGTGTTGTTTTCAATTTGTTATTCTATACATGAGAGTAGAAACTATTTCAACAGTTAATAATAAAAGGATTGTATGATGAACTACAATTCCAGAAGTATCTGGATGTATCGGAATTAGAACAAAGATTAAACATGTATACCAGCAGCGGTAATGGTCCAATGCAAGTAAAATGTAAATAAAGCCAAACATTTGAAAATCGAATGTTTAAATACCGACTACCATATGTTCAATTCTTTTTGCAGTAAAAGATGACCTTTGAATATATTATGATGAGGTATGTACAACCAGCGGCGTAGGTCATATGTGGATTCTTAAGAATTCTAAAGATCTACTACAAAATCTTTAATCAGAATATTTATTGTTTTGCAGTTATATCAAATGTTTTTAATTTTCTACGAATGGCACTACTATTACCTATGCACAAATGACAGATCGCCTACATCGTCTCATGAAACAGAGAGTTTTTTTTACAAAAATGGGGATCGTAGATACAAATTCCTTTTTATGGCCGTGATTAATCTTATTTTGTAAAAAAAAAAAATTACACCGATTTAAACAAAAAAAATACAATAAAAAAGACATAATGAATGTGCTTGACTTTTTAAACGACACTGTGGTTGAGTTTGGTGGATTGATAGTTCAACAGTCGGTATTCTAAGGGGAACTACTTATCAGAGACGGATTTAGGGAGGGCAGGGTGCCCCCCCCCCCTTTGTCGGAAAAATGTGTTTGATTATTTAGGGAATCACTGAAGCATGACTAAGTGTGCCCCCTCTTGTGGCAGTCTGTGCCCCCCCTCCTTTATGAAAATTGCTGGATCCGCCACTACTTATACTAACTTGCTTACTTCTTTTTGTACCAGTATAAAGCAGAATTCATACAGAACTTTGTCAAAGACAAAACAAAATGCACCTTGCAAAGTTCTTTAGTTTCACTTTCAGACATACTGATGATATCCCTTCACTCAATAACCCACATGGGTGTTACCCTTACACATCAACCGCGTCAACAGAAATTTGAGGAAAGTTGACTATAATCGTTTTCGCGATATGATAACCTCGGTAAACTAATGTTTCCCATATTTACAGAACCTGTTGGATTTTTAGTATTCTTATATGTTATTGTTTTTTTTTAAATTATTGTACTTAATTCTTTCAGTTCCACATAACAAATCTACACATAGACGGATTGGAAATATTAGCTATCACACATTAAGACATCGGAAACCAGTTCATTTTGTTCTGTTTAGAGATGCATTGAATACTCGTAGGAAATAATGTTCTTTCCATATATTGCCGCCTTTGATCTGAATTAGAAATGAGTATTCAAATGTCGTGAAATATTACTGCATACTAAGTGCTATTAGTCAACGATTTACTGGTCGGTTCTATATTTATTCTTTTTCTTTTTATGAAAAATCTTTTCATTTGAACTTACATATTCCAAGTCTACAAGCTGTTGGGCACCAATCCAGTACTGTTTATGCAGCAAAGCCAAAAATACAAGACCGTAACATTCAGAATCCCTATTGATAAGCTTTGCTTCTGGTCCATTAAAACCTTTAAAACAAACAGCATCATTTGATATCATTTACTAATAAAATGTAAATAAGGTAATATATAAGACACAGATTTTTATAATATTACTTTCGACATACGGTTAGAAATAAAATCAATAAATGAAGTATTAAACGGATACACGTACTAAATAAAATTGAGAATGGAAACGGGGAATATGTCAAAGAGACAGCAATCCGATCAAAGAGCAGACAATAGCCCACCAATGGGTTTTCAATACAGAGAGAAAGTTCCGCACCAGGAGACCGACTTCAACTGGCCCCTAAACAAAAATGTGTACTAGTTCAGAGAAAATGGACGTCACACTAAATTCCGAAACATATGAACGAACCAAAATCTAAAACAAAACATACAAGACTAACAAAGACAAGAAGTTCCTGACTTGTGACAGGCGCAAAAATGCGGCGGGGTTAAAACATGTTTTGTGAGATCTCAACCCCCGGTATGCCAATGCTTCTTATTTTGCACCCATACTGGTATACATGGTTTTGTTACTCATATCAAGCAGAATTGAAGAAAAATAGAAAAAAAAAATCTTGCAAAGATCTTCAATTTCAATTTCAGATATATTGAGGGTTCCAGTCAATCAATACCTTCATTTCAGTGAGTGCTTGCATCTCATATATCGTAGTAAACTTGTGATTCAGGATAATCCCGTAATCAGAAAGTGCTTCAGTCCTTCATCTTTTCCTAGATTTTGACAAAAATTAAGGACGTCTAGCTATAATCTATCACAAACATAATGATTACAACTTTTTGTCAACGTCCTATTTTCTAGCAGGAACATCGTAAAGCGTTTACAAAATGTACATATCTTAGCTAATACAACTCTCGTACATGTTCACACTTTAACGACTTTATCATTTCCTTTTAAGTTATCATAATTCTTCTAATTGTAAATCTGTTATACAAATTATAAATGAAACCATTCCAAATGGTGCTATGAATCAGTTTCCGGACTTGTAAATGGCTCCGGTAAACTTATACTATAAATGACCAATTTAATAATATAACTCTATTCTATTAGATTAATATCTGAAGTCATTTTACTACACAAGGTCATGTTTTTTTCTGACTGTTAATGACGTTTTAACACTTAATCCATTGGATGTTGGACGTGTATTGATTAATATTTTAGTCTTAGACATTTTTTATTAGTTGTTATTGACCTTTAACTAGCTTTCAGTAACTGCGAGGACTCTCAGATCTGTACTTTCTTTTGTTTTTTTGTTATGTTTTTGTTATGTTCTTCGTATCGAACTGGTGAGTTAAGCCTTTTTCAACTGATTTTGATAGTTTGTACTTTTACACAAATGTTCCCGGTTATATATTATATAAGCCTTTTATAGCTTATTATGCGGTGTGGGTTTTGCTCATTGTTGAAGGCTGTATATAATTGTTAACTTTTGTCAGTTGGTCCCTGGTGAAGAGTTGCCTAGTAAGCAATCATACCACATCTTTTTTATATTTATATATGCCATGCTCAACTAAATTGAAGTAAGTACTACAAAACAAAACAAACAAAACAAAACAAAACAAAACAAAGCAAAGCAAAACGAAACAAAACTAGCCTGAACAAAAACAGAAGATACAATCAAATCAAATATTGTTAAATGAAATCAACTACAAAGCTATAGATATATGAATTTAAAAGGCTTTCGAAATATTTGACACGCCAAAATGTTGTCTGAATTCTCGCATCGCAAAGCACAACTTCTGGATTTATTTGTATCGGGGTTATATTGGATGAAGTTGTCTCAAATTTAATAAATGTATCAGGCACTTGACTAATACAGGAAGTCCTAATGTACATTAGAATATTTACCTAATTGCATACTTCCAAATCTTTAACAAGAAAGTCACAACTCAGTATGGAGACAAACAATTGTATGTCACAAAGACATCTATGAAATAACCATGGTTTCATTTTTTAGTTTTTGTTAGGCTGAAGATTAATCAGAGTAATACTTTAAATATTCGAATAATAATATTGGTATCAAGGTTTAATTTTAATCAATTTAAGTATTCGCTATATTACTATTTGATACAAACCTTTGTGATCAGGCAGTTTGTAATCCATGTCGGTAAAACATTTCTGGTTTGACCATAATTCCTTTATATATTCATACTCCTTTTTAAAATAAACACTAAATATGTAAAGATTGATTAGGCCAATTCATTATAAAGCAAAGCAGTACAGTATCAAGTTAAATATGTAAAGATTGGTTAGGCCAATTCATTATAAAGCAAAGCAGTACAGTATCAAGTTAAATATGTAAAGATTGGTTAGGCCAATTCATTATAAAGTAAAGCAGTACAGTATCAAGTTAAATATGTAAAGATTGGTTAGGCCAATTCATTATAAAGTAAAGCAGTACAGTATCAAGTTAAATATGTAAAGATTGGTTAGGCCAATTCATTATAAAGCAAAGCAGTACAGTATCAAGTTAAATATGTAAAGATTGGTTAGGCCAATTCATTATAAAGTAAAGCAGTACAGTATCAAGTTAAATATGTAAAGATTGGTTAGGCCAATTCATTATAAAGTAAAGCAGTACAGTATCAAGTTAAATATGTAAAGATTGGTTAGGTCAATTCATTATAAAGTAAAGCAGTACAGTATCAAGTTAAATATGTAAAGATTGGTTAGGTCAATTCATTATAAAGTAAAGCAGTACAGTATCAAGTTAAATATATGAGTCAATTCATTATAAAGTAAAGCAGTACAGTATCAAGTTAAATATATGAGTCAATTTATTATATGCATATTTGTCTCAGTTCTTTTATTTATTTGTTCAGTGTTCGGTGCATATTTGTCTCAGTTCTTTTTACCCACAGCTGATTTATTTGAAAGCCTGTTGTGTGATTCATATGGGGAACACCGGATGTAGGTGTTAATGAAGATGTTTTTTATTCACGCATATAACTAATTGATAATTATTTCATTCTTTTTGTACACTGTTAACAACATTAGAACCTTCACCTCCTCATATATGTATTCTAGAGCACTCTTCAGATCGATTGGCCATTTTATGTACTTTTTTGGAATATTCCACTCCCCTTTCTTCAAAAGGTACATGAACAATGCAGTATGATTGTATGCATGTATTTCTTTCTGAAACATAAAATTCATGCCATGTTATTGAAACATAAGTAAAATATAAAATAACAATCATTAAAAATCGAATTTTTTGTGAGTTTTCTTTCCAACTAACTAAATGAAAAAAAAATAACCAGTGCTGACATAGAAAATAAAACATATACAAGAATGAACCCTTTGACGTGCAGAGCATGTCCTACTCGTAATTCGAAGTATCGGATAACATGAAGTAACTGTTTGACAGATCCGCAAAATGCTCATACGTTACAACTCATCACTGCAAAGCTCCTGACCAAATATAAAGTCATAATGTTTAGTAGTCCCACCGCAAAAAATGTGGCATTAAATTCAATCGACAATTCGTTTGCAGTCAATTTATTATTGTTCAGTAGCGTTTCAGACATTCAGCATGATGTTGATGGGTACAGGTAAGGAACAACTACTAAACAATCTGAACATGGACTGAACAGATCTTAATTGACTGCAAGCAATTTGTCTAACATCACTGAATTTGCTGCGTTGGATAAGTTTGAAAATTATATTAAAGAATGAAAATGTCTTTACGATTTATTGTTCGGTCTTCCAATTATAAAAAAAAAGAAGATGTGCTATGATTGCCAATGAGACAACCTTCCACCAGAGATAAGATGACGTAGAAGTTAAAAACTATTGGTCACCATACATTCCTCAACAATGAGCAAAACCCATACCGCATTGAGCTGTTCAGATCAAAATTGTATTACAATTCTACCAAAAAACATTCCTCAGATGTTCATCAGACGAAAGTCGGACATCGGTATTAGCATATATTTTAATTTTTTTATTTTGTCTAATACGTCTAAATTAGTGTTCAAACGTCGAAAAAGTAAAACCAACAAAAATACCGCTCAAAGATAAATTTGAAACGGAACGTCCTTTATCAAATAGCAAAAATAACAGTTCAAGCACACCAAACGAATGGAAAACAACTGTCGTATTCCTAACTTGGTACAGGCATTTCCTTATGTAAAAAATGATGGATTAAACCTGGTTTTATAGCTAGCTAGACCTCTTAATTGTATGACAGTCGCATAAAATTCCATTATATTGACAAAAATGTGTGAACAAAACAAAGAGACATCATAGGCAAAAATGTAAAACATTGGGATACAACATTCAACACCGTGTTATAATCGTAAACACTATAAAAACAAACAATCATTTCAACAAAGAAAAACAAAATGGCAAATAGACAAAGCACATAAGCAAAAATTAAAGACAAGAATACATTGTGTGCAAAATAGCAAAATCTTAACCAAAATAGCAATATTTTAGGATCTTTTAACTACAATTTACACAATGTTTTTGTTTACAATATGTTAATATTTTTAAAAAAATAGCATTTAGGGGTACAGCTCATATATCACTTGACTAAAAATATGCGTAAAATGAACATTATACGTCAGTATATGAACGGCAACAGGTTTATGTCGTGAAAGTGAAATCACAGATAACCTTTCTGTACTAAAGAGACAACTTGATATCAAGATGTTTCTGAATCAAAATGATAAACATAATTTTGTTATGCGTGACTAAGATAACTATTTTTGCAACTAATTAATAATGGTTTATATCATACCTCCACCTTTTTAGAGGATATTTATATTATTTCTCTGAGAAATACAACTTACAAATGTTTGCTCTGCTAAATCCTCGTCCATATAAACTAGAAATATAAGATAACACAATTTATACATAGATATACATTGTTATTGACCACTTAAATTTTGTAAGTTATATTTGAGGTATATTCCAAAAGACTTTGAAAGATACGGTGGGCAGTAAACACAAATACCAATTCATTTACAAACATTTTAGACTAAAATAAACATTTCTTCCAAACAGGCAATGAGTAGCTTGGATCAATTTCAGGAGGAACCTATCTCTTAGTTCGTATCTATTTGACACAGAAAATAAGCCAACAGATGTACAATTTATAATGAGCATTTTTTTTTTTTTTTAACTTCCATTAATCTTTAATGACAATTTGGTATTAATGATATGTAAATTTATGGTTGAATGAATACTTTTACTTGTTCATAGTTTGAATTGTATCAAGAAATTGACAATACATTCTTGAAAACGGGTTGCTGCAAACAGAGAAGCTGTTGAACAAAGGGTTCCATGTGTTAAGTGGTAGTCATCCCTGTGAATATTTTACTTGCACTTTACGAAGATGTCTGACCGTTACGAAACAAGTTGTTGCAAATGAAAACGGACATGTTACAACGATCGTGGCCTTCCATGTTTTTGCTATGGCGTTGTCTGTTTCTCTTTAAATTATTTGTTTCGACTGTCTGATGTGTACCAACGCCTCTTTTTTTTTTTTTTATTTCATGTGAAATAAGTCTGTAAACCTAAATTAATTCCTTAAACTGGAGTCATTCAAATCCAAATTGTGTATTAATACCTTATTGTGGAAATATACCTCTAATAAGCATCTGACAAACGATAATATCAAAGTCACACCAGTTTTCCGAAATAACACTATCAGACGGAAAATCATCCGTCACTGATTTTGTTTTCTTTAAACGCCATTCACTTTCAGTATCTGTTGTGTATTCTGTAAAACTCTGATCAACGTCTTCCGGCCATAAAACACTAACATCGGACATGTCGTTCTGGTATACATAAAATGGTAAATGTAGGAGTTAAACTAAAACATAATCATGACGAGAACCCAATGTTTTGTTCTTTCTTCTGAGTTCCATAGTTTGTTTTGTTTTTTTCGTTTTTTGACATTCGTTGATAAAGCCGTACTACATTCCATGATTTGATTTCATAACTTTGTTTTGGGAAACATTCCGAAATGTGTCAAATTTGTTTCAAAACATAAAAATTGAGATTCAACAACATAAAAAAAAAGAAAAAGTTGGTTGCCAATATGGTGTATTGACAGAAATTATCCATCTGACAGTGAGAACTTAGTTTACACCAATTTAACCACTGACTAGTTGTTTTACTTCTATCGATAATTTGTAAAATATTCTGATTTTAATTTATTAGTATCTAAAACTAATTATTTTAACGTAAACTCAAACAAAAACATCATAAATTTATTGTTAAAAATATTGAGAGAATTACTTTTTTTAACATGAATATAAAATTTAAGTATATTCACGTATCGGAATAAATATCTTTTGTATGATTTGTTCAATTCAGTGAAATTTAAACACATTCAAATATATTTGTGAAATTTAAATTTCTTATGTATTTATGCATTCTTTGCGAAATGCAAACTAAGATAATTTTTTAAATGTTGTTCTTAGCAATACAATATTTTACCTTTAATCGAATAATAGGTATCTGCATCTTTTGGCTCTTCCAATTGTTTCCAATGGGTATAATGACAGGTACAACGTACAATCCAAAGAAATCTTTTATCAGCCAAAGAAAGAATTGAAACAAATTTTATAATAAAAAAAACCATAAGAATAGATAAATAGATTATCATAGATATATTCATAATGAGAATAGTAATAATACAAGCTTAAATCAAAGTAACCGCATCGTACAAACGTGGTATGTGACTATTCGTAGATTATGTGCCTTTACTGTAAGTCTAAACAGCATCATAATACCATGTTAATGTCTAATATTAAAATGCGTTTACCTTCTGTCACACTAGACAAAACTTAAAAACAAAAATAAAAAAATAAAACAAAGTCCCAGTCATTTAACCTCTCACTGAAATTCAAGATAACTCCTATATGTCATAGAAGTGAGAGGTCACGAACATGACAGTTGTGTTCCATTCGTTTGATGTGTTTGAGCTTTTGATTTTGTTATTTTATAAAGAACTTTCTGTTTTGAATTTCTTTAGAATTCGGTATTTTTTGTTATTTAACTTTTTCCTAACAATGGTTGAATTTTATTAGTTGCGTTTTTAAGTATCACGTATACGTTGACTAATTTATTTGATGTCACTGCGGTTGTAATTTTATTTACACTAAGCATTCAATATATCATAACTATATCTTGGAGGTATACGCAATATCTATCTTTTAAACATTCTTTATTAAATAGTAATCAATGTATCACTCATTAAGGATATCAGGCTTATAATTTAGTACGCAATACGACTTCGCCTACCAAACCCCCAAAAATGTTTATTTAGATTTAGCCACGCCCCTTTTACTGAAAAAACATTAATGTTTTGATAAATAAACATGTCATACAACTGTTAATATTTAAGTCATATTTAGAAAAAAGGGTAGTTATTTGTTAGATAACATACATTCTGCAATTTCATTAAAGTAATCCATTTCGTTTCCTGGTTTCCATGATCCATTGATGTCCACTCTTTCGAATCTACGAAATCCTTGTTTTACAAGTTCCTAAGAAAATATTGAAATCCATATATTATGTATCATTGGTATCATTCAACGAGATTGAGACCCAACATTTACAAACTCTTATGTGGTTACATACATTATGATTAACAATGTATAATGAATTAAAATAATAATCATACAAAATACATATTCAACGATTGCACATTTTTTTTATTGAACATAAGTACCTCAACGTACCATAATTATTGCTTTATCTGTCTTGTAGTGGATGAAAGCAATATCGGTAGAATCACAGATCAGTAAAACTCTTGTTCCTACAAAATGACAAGGCAATTTGGTCTGTCCTGAAAGAACGTGAAAAGAAAACAATTTATACATTTGTGGCGACCAAAGCGCTTCTCCTAATTGGCGTTAATCAGGATCGCACATACCCCAAAAATGTTTAACTACCGGAACACGTGATCAACTAGCTGACGAACCGATGCAATTCAAAACAAAGAAATCTAAGGTCAACCTCGACTGGGGGTTAAGAACCTTACTTTGTTAATAATTTTTCAATTGATAATTTAAAAACAAAAGTGTGTTATGAATCATGTCAGCACCTAAGCAGCGACTACATCGACGTAATATCTAAAACACTACAAATATTCCTACTCTTATTCCCCTCTCAAACCGTTGCTAAGGGACGTCTCAAGTTTTGTCATGAATTGATACTTCATATACTCTCTTTTCAATATGTTTCTCCGTGCTTGAGGTGTATGCTTCTATGTTTTTTAACATTTTTACCTATTATGTTTGTTTGTTTTCCTCACACATTGCTGTCAACATAATAGAAATCTATGCGACTGTCATACAAGTGAGAGGTTTAGGTAATTATAAAACCAGGTTTATTCTACCATTTTCTAAATAAGGAAATGTCTTTACCAAATCAGCAATATGACAGTTGTTTTCAATTCGTTTGATGTGTTTGAGCTTTTAATTTTGCCATTTGATAAAGGACTTTCCGTTTTGAATTTTTCTGACGATGACTTCTCTCATATATGTGCTCGTTAGTATTCCCGCTATCGGCCATTTTGTTGATGGAATTGGTATACAGTTCGCAATATACATGTACATACGTCATTTTTTCCAAACTTCTAAAATATATCTCGTGTGCTTCGTTGTTGAATAAATGTTTGTATAGGATCTGCAGGCTAAGAGCAATTGTTGGAAATTTATGTATATACTATATACAAAAAAAGAAGATGTGGTATGTTTGTCAATGAGACAACTCTCCATATGAGACCAAATGACACAGAAATGTCTGGTTTCTTGGCCAGATATATATATTATTGATCATTTGTTTATGTTTCTCCATGTCTATATTCACCAATGCACAGTAGTTGTGTCTTGCAATGAATTCTGATCAAATCGGTGCTAGGAACCGTCTTAAACTTTAGGGAAGCGATAGTATATTGGAGATTATATCCAAATAGTATGCACATTTTCCAAAAAATGATCACCTCCGCTTTCAACCAGAGTTGCCGAGGATGACGAACTTAGAGCAGCAAAGATGAAATATCTTGCCTCTCGGGTGACTATTATCCAAGCGTTTCTTTAAGCAAATTCCTTCGAAAGAAAAAAATGTATAATCGATGGCAAGGTATTGGTGCTTAATATAAAATCATAAGATCCAAAATAAGAGAACTTAAAAATATTTTTTTCCCAGGAAATCCGGTATCTTTTATTTTGTTTCTTTTTTCTTTGAATTTTTCGATATTCTATCCCACAGATGGGTTTCTGCTGGCGATTGCTATTTTCGCACTTTGAGAAAAAATAAAAACTGTTGCGATTAAAATTCATTATTGGCGAAAGATTTTGCGAATAAATAATAACCGTTTGACTACGTCTATATTGTTAATTGTTGTCAGTTTTTTCGGACTTCTTCCCTGATCAGACGATACTGGGATTTCACCTTGAACTTGTCGCGCGTTACGATTGTGAAAGAAAATCAATAATCAGCTGATTGCACTTTTTAGCTATCGGTAACAATGGACTATTTAAAAAAAAAAGGTGTTGATTGTGGATTCAATGAAATTGTGTGGTTAAATGGCGTTATATGTCACCTTAAGGATAGTTTTAAAACTTTGATAGAAATAATTATTTTGAAGTGGGTACTTAGCAATCGTTATAGGGATGCACGTGTTTTATTTGAATCATAGTTTTACATCTCAACTTTTTCTTTAAACGATGGCCCAGAACAGGAAACTGTTTAAATGAAGAAAAATGTTCAAAAGTTAGAAAATCTTTGACCTTATAGTCTTTTTCCTTGAACTTTGATAGAAGTAATTGTTTTGTAGTAGGTACTTCACATTCCTTTTTGCAACGCACGTGTTTGAAGCATAGTTTTACGTCTCAACTTTTTCTTTTAACGATGGTCCGGAAAAGAAATCTGTTGTTATGAAGAAAAATCTCTGACTTCAGTCTTTGTCCTTCAACTAGACGGAAAGTATCCGATAGACTTATTGAAAATGAATCCAGTGTTCCCAGAAGTCAAAAATGATGATTTTATGATTTATATTGCAATTTCATAGTATCTTTAAAAAAAGTAAATATTTGTAATTGTGGAGTGTTTATTTGTTACAACGTAGACAGATTAAACAAAATATATGTAGAATCAGAGATTGTATTACATGTCTCCGCTAGAATTATAATAGATTAGACAACAATGCTGTAAAATGATTTTTTGTGTAACAAAGAAGAAAAAAATTTAAACGATAAAATATGTTTATGAAAGTGGCGAAAAATATATTATTTTGGCGAAAGAGGTGGACAAACTGAAAATTGAATCAGGTGAAACCCTGCCTAACAGTGTCATAAAATACCATTATATATTTGATATGAGCATCTTATCTTAAGGCAGTGTACTTGGTGGTAATGTTGACATCATATTAAATAATTGTATCTAATATTAGAGAAATCGAAAATAATTTCAAGAACTCCGGATTTTTCATGAATTTTTAGACCTTTATTCCTAAAAAGCTATAAAATACCGTTATATTTTTATCTGACTTAATATATCAAGACACAGTACTTGGTGGTTACATTGAATTTTCACTTAATAAGCAAATTTTTAGATGCAATATCAGAGAAAATGTAAAAAAATACAGAAATCTGTTGTCTTTAATAATTCTTTTAATTTGTTTCCTCGAAATGCACGTGTATTGATTTGAATAGGTTATCTTCATGTGTTTTTGTATCAAAGATATCACATATACTAGTTAATGAAGTACTCTTTTATAAAAGTGTTATTTTCATTCGCGAAGAAGGTGACTACATCCCCCCAACCCTACCCCCCAAAAAAACTCCAAAAAACCGGAAAGGACTACCAATATGACTAAGGAACATGTAGTTCCCTGTGCACCTGTACACTTAGTGTGGTTGGAGACATTTAAACACTAATAGATGACTCCCTACAAAACATTTTAAAATCATTGCCTTTGATTCACATGACATTGTTTTTTTTCAATTTGTAATTTGTTCTAATAATTTAGAAAGATTTGCATATACTTACTTGCAAAAGATATGACTTCTTCCATTAGTTTCAATCTGTCATCTTCTTCTCGATTAGCAAATATGAGACACGTCAACGGTTTGTGTAACTTTCGTTTGTCTCCAAACCGCAACGATTCCCAACAGATCACCTCAATCTATAAATAAAAGTTCTATGATGCAATAAATTGGAAGAGAAAATTGATTATTAAAAACATATGCTGAAGATTATGATGACGATGAATATATTGCAATATGATCGTATCGGATATACATTGTTTGGAAAGCGCTAGTAGTAAAAAGTAAAACATTAGTTACTAGGCAGTCAATTACCAATGCTTAATCTGCATTGTAGACTGTTTTCTAAGAACTATTTTTTCTATCTTTGATGATTACATTTTATCAAAAATACCAAACTCCAAGCTTAATGTCCATATAACTTGACAAAACCAAACGCTCGACTATATTAAACAACGGAACGAAAGGAAAACAACAGTCATATTCCTGCCTTGAAACAAGCATTTTCGGATGAAAATAGTGGGTTTAACCTGGTTGAGTAGCTAGCTAAACCTTCCACTTTATCAACAAAATTGGATTAGCAACCCAAACAGACATAATTTGTTATCGTGACAACAAACGGGATCCAGCAGCCAAGTCACGTATTCCTATATATATATAAGTTTTAGGATTTGTGCAACGATATTGATAAAAGATAAAGATATAAAAAAGATGGAATGAAATCGTATTGACAGATATTTCGGACCAACAAATAGCCTTCATCAGTGTCAGTCCCTTCTCAAAATGTGATATAACAATGAGGTCTGTGTGTGTTAATAGAGCTCACACATTCATACAGGTGATCTTGTACTATGTCAAATTAAGTAGACGTGAACGGGTATCTTTGACATTACTGGATGTGTATTTTGTTAACCTACAATGTTTTACCATTAAGAACGTATGGGTCTAAAACGTGCGTGAAGAATTTCAACGAATCGTTTATGCTATATGAATTTGTTGCATTAGTTTAAAATGATTTTAAGTTTTTATCATGTTATCTAGTTGATGAATTTTTATTTGTAAATAAGTATTTTCGCTTTAAACTAAAGTTTTAGTAAATTGAAGGACTTCATGTCTGATCAAAAACAATTATATATATATATATTATAATATTTGAATAGCCGTTTTGTGCTGATGAGGCGTAAAGCAATCATCAATCAATCAATCAATTTAACCAGACAGACTCTACAAGAACATGGTATATTGAACTAAGTTTTTGGTTTTATAGCAATACAATTTTTATTTCATGTTTTTCATTACATATTTTACGTAACGATGATTTTGTGAATTTTTCTTTCATTTTCTATGTTACATTTTCATTTTAAAACTATAAATTCATGACCCGCGGAACGGATGGTGCTCATTTTTGCCTCATTGTCTTCTCTGTAAGGTTGTACTTTGTGTCATATTACTTTTATGTATATTGTCTTACATATACCGCGTCGGCCTTTTTTTCATGATATGATGACAAAATGGGCAGGTTAAATTTACACTGTGTATAATTTTTGCTGAATGAGAAATACACGCGAAAAAATAACTATATCGTATTGATAAAGATGTAAACAACATAAACTTGTGTAACTGACAAGAAATCGAATACAAATAAATATGACTTATACAAACAAAAATACACATAATTCAGAGAACTTTTATGGAACGTAAATTATGTGCATTGGAGCATGCTAAAACTTGAAGGTTTTGATCATTACAGATATACAAAAATCCATGTAAATGTGAATTATTTTCATTTTATTTTTACATTACATGCAAAATGTTCGGATTATGACACAAATCAATAGATTAACATTCTCCATTTCCATTCTCATTCCCCATTTCCATTCTCAATTTTATTTAACATGTCACTGATTGCTGCGTTGTCAAAAGGTGTGGAATGTATGATTAATCGATATAATTATTATGAAAACAGAGATCTTAATTAAGTATGCCCATTCTTTAGATCCGTCGAAGAACACAAAAGACTCGGTAATTTACAGTATAATGTATGAAACTGTCGAACAACGATAAATCTTTCAATTTGCAGTGAAATTTACGCGGGTCAAATTTTCGCGTTTTTTAGTAGCTGCGAATAAAGCGAAAATTAATCACACGCGAAAAAAACCCGATATACGGTACATCCAGTTGTCATTTTTATTCTCAGGACTATCATTTAAGATTACCAACAGACTTTAAAATTGTATTTTAATCAAATGCAGGATTTATAACATTCGTTTTCGGTGAACATTATTAAGAAACAACAAAACCTCTACCTTTTTCTGTGCGAATCCATCTCCGAACTCAACTATACACATACCACAATCGCCTAGAAATATAAAGATTAATCAACTAAAACACGTGTATATTATCTAAATATTCTTGAGGACTCTTTGTAGGTGGTAAAGTGAATCCAAACAGTTAAGAAAATGACTTCAATGTACTTTATAATATTTCATTATAAAAAATAACAAAAACAAATTACAACTAGTATGAATAGCTTGAATTTTCATAAAAAGTAAAATAACAAAAATACCGAACTCCAATAAAATTTCAAAACGGAAAGTCCCTTATCAAATGGCAAAATTAAAAGCTCAAACACATCAAACGAATGGAAAACAACTGATATATTCCTGAATTAGTACAGGCATTTCCTTGTGTAGAATGGTGGATTAAACCTGGTAATATTGCTAGCTAAACCTCTTACTTATATGACAGTCGCATAGAACTCAATGGAATTGCCAACAAAATGTGTGAGCAAAACAACCAGACAAAATAGATATACATGTCAAAAATTGGGGTACAGCAGTCAATATTGTGGTCTAATCGCAATCACTTTAAAAAAAAACAAATCTGTCAACAAAGAAAAACAAAATGGACTATAGATACTCTATAGACAAAGTACATAAGCAAAAATGAAAGACAAGAATACAAATATGACCATACCACAATAATACAATGTAGGGATGTATAAATACCGAGGTGGGAGAAATTTATAGTTTCGAAATTGAAATCGTCTCGTTTGTCATAGACTTTCCACAAATGTAAGAAGTATGTAAGTCAAAATATAACAGGCAGTCTACTGTTCCTAGTGTTGTAATTTACTAAGTTTGTACGGAAACTTCAACTTTTGATGATAATTAAAAATTGCAAATGTTTCTTCAGTATTGTAATTATATAAACTGTCCACAGTGGCTTTCATCCTAATCTTGAATTATAAATATCCTTTCATATTTTTTATAATCCATTTTGAATTTTCGTAAAATGCAGTTTGGTTTGCTTATATACTACAATACATTTGCCCAATCAATTATGCTTTATTTACAATTGGAAATGTTCCTCTAGAACATATATCATTGTTAAGTTACTCTTTTTAAATAAAATAACACTGTTTGAACCCTTCAGTACAAATAAGTCAAAGACTTTTGTAATGTATCAAATCACTTTGTCCAATCTCTTGGACAATTAACAAAGCACATTATATTCCATTTTTTAATATAATACCGATTTAAAAGAGAGGCGAAAGATAACAAAAAAACATTCAAACTCACAAGTTGAAAATAAACCGAACACGCCATGGCAAAAAAAAAGAAAAAGCCACACAGACAAAAAACAGTACACAAATCACAACTTAGAAAACTAAAGACTGAGCAACACAAACCCCACCAAAAACTGGGGGTGATCTCATGTGATCCGGAATTATAAGCAGATCCTGCTCCACATGTGGTACCCTTCGTGTTGCTAATGTCAGTACAAAACAAGTGATACGTCTAATTCGGTATGTCATATTCGGGGAAAAGGGGCCGAGATTGTAGTTACGACAATTGGAACATATCTGTAGGGCAGTCTTGGTTTAAAAGCTTCCTTGTGAGCAGCAACCCTCTACCAAGGAAATCATGATAGGAAATACAACCCTGGAATATCGTATCAACTGGGAGATATATACTCCGTATGCAGTTGCTGCTGGAATGTTGCTGCATAAAATTGGAAAGTTCACAATTGGGAAGCTGAAATCATCTCTTGTGTCGCAGAAAATCCCGCTGACGGAAGGACAAGAACTTGCAAGCGCAATCTAAATATATTGTTGCTGTTTATTTTCATATGCTAGTAGTGTAATATAACCATGTATAGCTATTGTCTTCTCAGCTCAATTAAAAATCTCATGTAAAAGTGAAAAACATTTTCATCATGTAAGGTCAATAAAAAAGATGAAATGCCGAGATGTATCATTGCCATGTCATTTATAGCATCTACTGTGTTTCAGAATAGTCGGACAAAGAAAGATGTCAATCTAAATGGTTGAAAGCTCAGAGAAATAGAGCAAGTATATAATTGCAATTCAAACCCACCATATATTTATAATATATATAAGTATATCCAATACCTTCAATATACTGTCTTTTTAAATCTGTAATTTTGTAACCATAGAAGGTTTTACAATGTAACATCCTCCCACCAACACTTTTATGGCCTTGAATTTCCTGTTAAAAATAAATAAGCTTAAACATTACAAAAAGCTGTTAAAACAATTTCAATACTTTTTTTCTGAGAGCACACTTGTATGGCCTTGAATTTCCTGTTTAAAATATATAAGCTTAAACATTACAACATAAGGCTATTAAAACAACATAAATACTTATTTTTTTATCAGAGACATTCAGAAGGGTCAACAATCTCCATAGTTTATGAGAACATATTATTAAAAAGGTCAAGGTTTTATCTATATCTACTGAATTCTGTTGATGAAAATTTTCTACAAATTATGAAAATTCAAATGGGCAACGTTGTGTTGCATTTATTTATTACAGCACATCTAAGGACACACTTCTATCTGTTACCAAATTAGGAATATTCTCCTTTACTGAATTTCTCTCTGAATCGTAAATCCAACTTATTTTAAATTTAAGCTTAAAAGTACGAACAAGGGTCACAATATACTAGTATAACGTTTGTTATGGCTTTTGTGTAACACCAAAGTTACAACATAAAATTACACCAAAAGTTAAGCAATAATTGAATTTATTGAAAAAAATTTGGTCTTGATTATATTTTGTTGAGAGAATTTCTACATCATATATGACAAGAAATTAAAAGAAGTTTTTTTCAATATAAAGTTGGTAAAACCAATCAATGTATGTCTTTGTACACTTGGTTTATTTATAAGTTGAAGGTTTTAAATACCAAGTCCTCTTATATATTGTAATTTTATGGTTTATTTTTTAGTGATTGTGGTAATGATTAGTTAAATAAGTCCTATCCAACTGATTGTAACAGGTTGTTATTATGTTGTGCAATTACAACGGTCTTGCAGGTAAGTAAGAGTGGAGCCCTCACATACAATTTACACTCGGCTAAACAATGTATGTGCCTGACCTAGGAGACTGTTAATCTGTGGTTGACGTCCTATTTATTTTCTGTCCCATGATACTGTTATTTTGCGGTTAACGTCCTATTTATGTGTCTGTCTTAAGATATTGTTATTTTATGGTTGACGTGTGTAGCTGTATGCAATCTTCTATTTTGTTTATACCTTTTGTATTAATGAACCATATTTTTCTTTTGAATTGTTTCATTCCGTCATATCTTTAATTCAGGCAGCAAAAATGATTTAACAAATACCATTTAACAACACGTTATTCTACTATGTTAATATTATTAGCTCATGGACTGACGCAGCCAAAGAAACATAACAATACAATGCTCAGGTCTATACATGAATGAATAGTTTGGTAATGTGGTTCATCTATGAGTTCAGTCGTCCATTTGTAGTCAGTCCTGTACTTAATAAAAATTAAAGAGATGTGGTATGATTGCAAAAGAGACTACTCTCCACCAGGGATTAAAAAACAAAGAAGCTAACAATTATAGATCATCGTAAGGCCTTCAACAATGAGCAAGATCCATACAGCCTTGTAAGCTATAAAAAGCACTGAAATGACAAATATAAAACAAATCAAACGAGAAAACTAATGGCCTGATAACCGATTAGAATAGTCAATCCGTCAGACGCTAGATAGAAATAAGTGGTAAAGTCTTTCCGTTAGACGATAGAAAAAAATGAATACCAGGAATGGTTCTTTCATTGCTGAAAGTCAATCCGTCAGACGATAGAATAAATGATGGCCAGGAATGGTTGAAATGTTTTAAAGTATTTAGTATTACCCAGGTTGGGAAAAAAGTGCCTGAACATCATTTGTATTTAAATTGACTAAATAACTATTGTCTTATTTAAAGTTTTGATATTTCAAAGATATTTAGGGTGGGATGTACTTACCAAGTTCTTTGTTTTTCGACGACCCTCATCTTCAGATTCCGATTCCTGGAAAAGACATACATGCATCTCTATCAAGACGGTGCGTGAAAACTTTGGAAATAAATGATATGAAATAACCCCATATCTATTGATCATCTGTAATATCTTTAACGGTACAAATCTTATTGCACCAGATGTGCATTTTGAAAAATAATGTCCCTTTGGTGAGGTTTGAGCCAAAAATATTCGGTAATCGAAAATCTGTTACGAACGTTTAAGAGATAACTTGATGCAGTTTAATGAAATAGTTTATTTTAAGGCAAACAGTAGACAATATAGTTTTACTTCAAAGAAATTCCCGATAGAGATGGTTTTTCTTTACTTATATTAAAAGGATATCTCTCTCCTGTTAACATTAAACAATATAGTAAAATTTCTATTAAATATTGCAAATCTATTTTGGTTTAAAACAATACGAAGGAGATAAATCACAAAACCCCTACAAATGAACTTTAAAGCTATATGTTTTATGACTTATCATTATATTAGTATGCAGAAGTTTGGTCACTTGTTCAATAATTTTTCGCTCAATTTGTTTATTTAAAGAACTATTTTTTTTAAATTATAATAACGATTTCATTTCTGTTTTTCTAAGAGACAAATCAATGTTGAATGTTAAATGCACGTGGTGCGTCACTAAATTGTACAGATAAACATGTGATAACTAAGGAAAGAGGCGTTATTTTTATTGTGCATTTATTTGTATATTTTAAGATAATGACAACATGTTAGGTCGTCGCTATGGAACTGAGTGTGCATATTATTATAGAGGACTTGACATCATCCCCGTTTTTTTTGTAGGACTCGTGTTACTCAATCGTTACATTTGTATGCGGTGGTTGTCTTTTCGCCATAGTTAAAGTCGTATGTTTGTCTTCTGCTTGTAAGTTTGAATGTCCCTTTAGTATCGTCTGCTTCTCTGTTTAAACTACCATGGACATGAAGTATTCAGTTGTTGAACCAGCACGTACTTTTATACATTTTATTTCTGCTGTAACATTTAATTCGTTAGCTTCCTTGGAGTTTACAATAAAACATAAAAAAATGAATTTGAATAAAATGTTCACCATACCGATTTGGTAATCCATTCTGTATCCGTCGAACCAGGCATTAATTCTATAACTTCTGAAACAAATCAAACCAAGACCTTAAAATGTTGTTTTTCATTTTAGCCATGCGATGTTTTCTCTTCGACTTATACGAATTTTGACTGACACTTTAAAATTTCTTTTGTATTTTTCTGCGCACCATTGGTGGTAATGCCTTATTTTAAACACTCGTCGGTAAATTCAATATTTAAGTAACTTACAATGAAGAAATATTAACTATTATTTCAATGATTGATCCACTTTAATTGCATTTTTTTAATATTTCATTCCGAAGACTGGTTGAGCAGCCATACACCGTATATAAGCAAAGGTTTTATATTAGAATAGAGAATGGAAACGCGGAATGTGTCAAAAAGACAACAACCCGACCAAATAGCATAAAACAGTCCAGGGCCCCAATGGGTCATCAACGTAGCGCGAAAATTCCCAACCCGAGAGCATGCTTCAGCTGATCCCTAAATTAACTTACTTATGTAATGGTCGACGCTTTTATATTTCTGAAAGTTAACAAGTGCGCATTAAAGTAATGTCCGAACAAAAATTAATGTTACCTGACATCGTTATTGTTATGACTCAATGTAATCGTTGGATTAATTTACAATTAACAATTAACATCAACATCAACATCATTGAATATGACGTCCATTTGATGTATACTGATATATATATATATATATGTTATCTGGCATATATATGTTGTCTTAAACATATATGTTGTCTTGGATATGCATGTTGTCTTGGATACATATATTTCTTGGATATATATGTTGTCTTGGATATACATGTTGTCTAGGATATATATGTTGTCTAGGATGTATGATTTTATTAGTTTTTGGCTATGAACTAGCTTTCAGTAACTGAATACTCTTAGATTGGTACTTTGTTTCTTTATAAAAATATTAAAATGAGGGAAGTATAACCGCAAATCCAATAAGAAACTAATCAGAAAATAATGAAGTAGACGTTAGTAAGGGAATATAAGGAGATGAGGTATGATTGCCAATGAGACAACTATCTACAGGAGTTCAAATGAAGTTGATGTAAGCAATTGTAGGCAATCATACGGCCCTCTACACAAAGTGTTTTTTTTTTAAAGTTTTTCTAAACTGTGTATCGATATGAGTCTGGTCTTTTATAAAAGATATTTTTTAGGGGGCGGGGCTTTTATTATTTTATCGATAGTTGCTTTATTGACATTCATCCCATTAACTTTTATTTCAGTTTATATACAACTTACCAGCCATCACGCTGAAACTTCTTAGTCCAATTTTGCTTCAACCAGATGTTATGATGATGCTGACCACAAATATGATAGTTATTGTTAAATCTCATATGAAAAGATACATGTATACAATTAAGAATGCATGACAATTAAAACTACCAATTGTGAATCTTAATATTCAATACTTTTAGTACAATCTCAACAAATTAAAGCATATTTCGTAATAAGTAAGTAATAAAAAAAGCATTCTATACACATTTGATCATGCGTCCGTATATTTAAACATGCATTGGGATAGTAAACAGGATATGCGAAAAAGGTAAAATAACAAAAATCACGAACTCCATGGCAAACTCCAAACGGAAATGACAAATATAAAAGCTCAAACACATCAAACGAATTAAAAACAATTGTTATATTCCTGACTTGGTACTACCATTTCCTTATGTAGAAAATGGTGGATTAAACCTGTTTTTATAGCTAGCTAAACCTCTCACGTTCATGCAAGTCGCATAGAATTCCACTATCTTGACAACAATGTGTATCACTATAAGAACAAATAACTAGTTCCACAAAGAAAAACAGAATGGCATATGAACATTCTACAGATCAAGTACATAAGGAAAAATGAAAGACAAGAATACAAACCAAAGCACAATAACACAATGTGGCGGGATGTATAAATAACGAGCCATGTCAAAAGTATATTACCAAACCTGGACTAAACAGTAAAGTTTAATAATATACAATGGCAAATAAAAAGAACACTATAACACGTAATGAAGATTATAGTACCGAGAATCTATACTTTAAGACCATCATGTATCATTTGTAAAGTTAATATATATTTATCAACTAGGTCTTGGTATCTTTCAATGACCTGTTTCAGAAAAAGGACGAGACATTATTGGACATAATCCTGGTTCATCAACTTTTATTTAGTCTGAGTAGCAGCCGCAAGCTGCTGAATACCGAATGAGTTGGGAAATGTATATCCCATATGCAGATGATGTTGGCATATTGCTGTTAAGGTGGGGGAAATTTATAATTTCAAATTTAAAATCGTCTTCTTTGTCATATATTCTGGTACTAACATGACCGCTAATGTCAAATTCAAAGTATAAGTCTAAACATGAGGCGGAGGAAGCCGTGTCTGTTGTTTATTTAATTTCTAGTTCTGAAGGAAATATTAATGGAACCCAATCAGAAAAGTTTTGATTGTTAATGGGAAGAAAATCATCAATATATCTTAACGTGAAATTAAATGACCTGTTATTAACAAGGTTTTTTTCAGGGTATGCAATACAGGATAATTTTATATATAAAGGTTTAATTGAAGCATCTATATCAGAATTTTGGAACAACTTAAAATATGATTTATCTGAATAGTACATGGTAAAAATAAAAGGTTATGTCTACCTGTCATATCGATGAGTGAAGGTAATGATTCATCATACAAAACTCGATATATTAAATTAACTATTATGACTTTGATCACACTTTCTGATCATTCTTTATTAAAATTTTAATGTACACGGTGTTTATAGTGTTCATAAGAAAACTGGCACATGCGTTACTCTGTCCCATAGACTTGCACTTAGCAAAAGAAAAAAAGATTTTGTAGAATTATAGCCTCCGCATAAAATGTGCGGTCATTTATTGGTGCTGGAGAGTAACTCAACAAGAAAACGACAATATGTACTCGACCAGTATGGTTAACAGACTGTGTTAAAACACGCAATCCTTGATGTCGGGAACATTATTTTTTGGGCAACAGTAGTTTACCGATGTTCAGATCCTTTCCAACAATATACAAAACGAGCATAAACAAAAAATGAGGAGCGAGACGGGATGCAACGCCAGTGTGAGCGTCTCCTGCTATATATTCATCGCCCGTTATACCAATCCACACCCAGTAAACATGTCAAAATTTGGATTGAAGGATTGTTTGTTGTTCCACGTCCAGTGGCAAAATTTGTTCACGAAATCTTTAAAACACATGGCTCGAACAAAATTTGACTTTTCCTTTTTTATGCGGTTGCTGTATGAACCATACTCTAAAATAAAGCTACCTATATGACAAGTCGTTGTTATATTCATATTTGTTTCTTATCTATACATTATTCTCCTATTGGAGACCGTATGTTAAAATGCAAGTCGAGTTTTTTATTGTGTTTTTTTATCTAGAAATAAGAAGATGTGATATGAGTGTCAATGAGACAACTCTTCATCCAAGTCACAATGTGTAAAAAGAAAACAATTATAGGTCGAAATACGGCCTTTAACACGGAGCCTCGGCTCACACCGAACAGCAAGCTATAAAGGGCCCAAAAATGACTAGTGTGTTTGAAACAATTCAAACAGGAAAACCAACTGTCTAATCTATATGAAAAACGAGAAACGAGAAACACTTATGAACCACATCAACAAACAACAACCACTGAACAACAGGTTCCTGACTTATCTGTTGTTTTTTGTGTGAAGAATAATTTTTACTCAAAATTTAATACATATAACACGCTATACTGCTCCCAGTAGTATTTAGAAAACACTCTGATCGTTTTTTTCCTGTTGGTTGTTGTGTCGTACAAATATGCACTGGATCACTTACTATTCTTACTAGATTAACGGGTACAGAACAAAATCAAACGCGAGCACTTGATCGTTGGATAATTTCTTTCCTCTAAGTAAATAAGGAAGATATCCTGAAACACAATTGTTTGAACACCTTAACTAAACAGTTGTTAGTATCAGGGGTAAATAATCGTGAAACTAAACCAACCAAGGTTCAATTGAAAATTCAAAACCTAATAAAAACTTTTAGTATAATTTAACCCTAAAGCATCACCAAATCCGGATAAAGAATTAGATATTTGGTGGATTGATTGTTGGTTGATTAACGTCCAGTGGAAAATATTGTCTGCATGTTCAGGACAAGAACATATTTACAGTTCATACAATAGGAAGGTCTTGTAATCGAGGCCGACAGGGATGAAGGTCGGGGAAATTTAGACTGCAACGGGAAAAAGAGGCTATATTGGATAGGGACATATATTTTGCCTTCTAACAGCCCACATATGACCTATCTAGGATTAATACCAAGGGTTCTCAACGTATACAGAGCATGGCACTTTCTCTACACAAGACATCGGATTTAACGTCCCTATTATGACCGAAAAATATTTCTGAAAACTTTACGCCAGAATATTTCGAGAGAAAGCTAATTAGCCAGGAAGAGGTCGCCTCCATTAATTGAAAATATATACATGGGCAACGATCTATTGTAATGAAATATTAAAGCAAAAATGGCAAAGCCAAAATAAAGGTCTTCAAAGCCTTCTCTTCTAGCATGTAGATGCATTTTGACTCAACGGTAGGAAATATTAAATTGCTTTCAGTTGTCTTCTTTAGAAATCTCGTCATAACTCACTCTGTTTGTAAACATGTATATACATCGCATGTATTTATCTATTATAAGATTATTTTTTTTTCGGTAATGACAAGTTATATTGGTCTCTTTGTTGGTAATGAATTAAACAAATATTAAGAATACAAAAAATCATAAAAAACATCAAATTAGCATTAATGCGTGCAGAAAGTATAATTTCTGAGATCTTTTAATATATACATACAATGAAAGCTTCCATATAATATCCTCAAACTATACAATGAAAAAAACATCAAGATATCATGCCATCATCATTAATATGTTTTGCGTATAAGACAGTATGAGGAAATCTACTATATTTACAAATTATTTATTATACATGATAGAAAATAGACGCTATACAAATGTTTCCCTTGAACCAACAACATCTGATTGAATCAACATTGTTAAGTTCTTATTGGTTTATCGTTAATTGTATTCAAACAGTTTTTTTAAATGCCATCTATGTACACAATGTCAATACTTTTTGGGAGTTTTAAATGTTTTGTTGGCATTTTCCTTTCATCAACTATTTAAATCCATAAAATTCATATGTCAATGCACAGGTATAGAAAAATCGTTAACTTGCATACATTTGTATCTGTACTTTATGTTCAATGCGACCATTTACATGCTTATTTGTTTGTTTTTATAGTGATTAAGATTATATCACAATGTTGACTGCTGTACCCCTATTTTTGACAGTTTTTCCTATTATGTCTTTTTGTTTTGTTCACACAACGTTGTCAATATAAAGGAATTTTATGCGACTGTCATACAAGTGAGAGGTTTAGCTAGCTATTAAACCAGGTTTAATCCACCATTTTCTACATAAGAAAATGCCTGTACTAAATCATATGACAGTTGTCCATTCGTTTGCTGTGTTTGAGCTTTTGATTTTGCCATTTGATTAGGGACTTTCCTCGGAGTTCAGTATTTTTGTGATTTTACTTTTTTTTTGTATAAAATTCGTTTCACTGTACTTAATCAATTTTTTTGTTGATTCAATAGACTTGATGTAGTTTATTATATTGTTTAATTTAAATCAATGCATATTGGGAGAACACCATCTATTTGCATATCATTTGCATATTTCTAGTTTGATATGAGATGAAAATGTTGCCTTTATTTCTAATACAAATTCATTTTCGAGTCTATGAGATTGCGCATTTCAGTTTCAATTAAGACGTTATTACAACAAATTACAATACGATAATTCGTTTTAAAAGTAGGTAAATTAATATCACTTTGCTTTCATGTAACCATGGTACACTCGGGCATACTTTGGTTCTGTATTATATATAATTTCCCTTTAACCGCTTTTTTCATTCCGGTTTTGAATAGATATTTTTTATCTGACCTACAATAATTCCTCTGATTTATTTTATAATTGTGTTACTCCGCTGATGGAAATAGGTGGGCGTGTTTACTAACAAACACTATACTTGTCCTTGTCACGGCTTTTGTCATTTTGTGTTGATCCTTAGTCTCTTTAAATGCATTCAAAACTTTTTTAGATTATTTATTTAATCTTGTATAAAGACTTGTTTATTGATGAGACCTATATATTAAACTTAAAATACCTTTAAATTTTTCATTGAAGTGTAATTATTTCATTGACCATGATTTTAAAGACACAAATGTGTTATACTAACATTTAACCTTTCCTTTAAC